TGGACACGCCCACTTTCCTTAATTTTTCCAAAGTAGAGGTGTGAAAACACCCTGCTGAAACGAGGGGGCTTCATGGCCCTTTAAAAAAATCTACTTCAGACCAGAACACACACAGTATCTGAGTGAATAATGCGCACAGCACTTTCTGTATTTGGCATCATAATTTGTGGTTTTATTAGAATAATACATTGTACAGACTTTACAAACTCAAAAAGGCCACTCTTAAAACGTTCTTTAAAAACAAAGATGAACATTACAAACATGAATAAGGGCTTGTCATGAGGACTCGATAGACACACATGTACTGTACGTTATCTGATGGCTTTCTTTCGTGGACAACGATTAACCCATTTAAGTGCTTTCTTGTGCTGAAATGATCACTGCGCAGGTTCAAGTCTCCTCTGAGGCGAAACGCTTTCTCTTGGCAAACCTGAGAAGAGAAAAATAATAAGTGATTTATTTTTACCATTATAAAACTATAATTGAGTATTACAAGGAATAAAACAATTAGATCCTTATTGGACACACTTTACAATAATGGCCCGTTTCCACTGAGTGGTACGATATGATTCAGTTCGTTACGCTTTGTGCGGTTTATTTATAAACTAATTTCGAGAGGATCACGTGCTTATGATCAACACTGCTGGCTCCTCATTAGATGATTACGGAAGCATTATAAATAACCAGAGTTTTTCACTCCAGTTATCTTCGTCTTGAAGCCCCACCCCCCCCCTCACCCCTACTTCCTCCCCCTTTTCCGATAGGGCTACACGGTGGCCCAGTGGCTAGCACTGTAGCCTCACAGCAAGAACACCGCTTGTCCAACCTCCTATCGGGCTGGTTGGTGTTTCTGTGCGGAGTTTGCCTGTTCTCCCCGTGTTCGCGTGGGTTTCCCCCGGGTACCCAGGTTTCCTCCCACCGTCCAAAAACATAAACCATAGCCAATCGACTAAACCAAATCATCACCTAAGACAACCTTAGTTTACACTTCTCACACGGCGACAAGCAGGGGAGTTCTCGAGACCTACCTGAGCTCAAACTCCCCTCTCACCCTTCTAACGGGAGGGAGCCCCGGGCTCGAGGACATTACGAGCTCAGGGCTCTCTCCCGGGACAGCATGCCAAAATGCCCTTTATTAATTATCAGCTAAGTGTGAACTCTTGAATATGGTTGTTTCCACTGTCAAATGGTCCCTAAAAGCGAAAAAACTCTTGCTTTTGTTTGTATTTCAGTTAACGACAATTATTTACATTTTAGTTTTCCTTTTTTGTTTGTTTTCATTAACTAAATAACTTTGGCGAGAATGACGTCGACTGAAACTTTCTGTCGTGCACAACATTTACCAAAAGGGTACCATTGGTAACATTTGGCAGTGGAAATGCAAGCCTGATTAAAGTGACCCGTACCGACCCGTACAGTACTGTATTACTCAGTGGAAATGGTCCATACGGCTCCATTAGTTAATGCTGGCTAACCTTTATCCGAGACTGTAAGTCGACGTAGTTCCCTGTCCAGCTCCTCGTCTGTGATGTTCATACCAGGATTAGGCACAGAGGGCAGAAACTGGACAAAAGCAGCATCTGGGAGATCCGTTTTCCTCGGAGGAGTAATGGGGTGTGTCGGGACTGCTGGGAACAGATCGTTTTCTGGGACACTTTTCTCCATTAATGACTTCAGCTCCTCTTCCAAGTCCTCCGAATCCTCTCCTATCAGAAAAACAAGCAGCATTATGAATGCAACTTCATAGTAAACATTGAATTTACTTCCAGCTACTTCCAGATCGACACACAGTTACTATTACTAGTGACTACACACACCCTGCTGGGTTTTTTGCTTTCTTGTGTGGTTTATGTTTTATTTTTTTTATTTAAGATTTATATTTTTTTATTAAAAAAAAATACAATTATTATTGCCATTCAATAATGAATAATACAAGCTTGCAAAGTCTGCCATTTTTTTATGGAAAGTACTTTGGCAAGCTTTATTTGCATTAATTTGTTGGAAATAAAGCCAAATTAGTTTCTAGTTCTTCAATTTGGGCCACAAGGAAAAAATGACAATGGTAAAATGAGTTCACTCATGAAATGTTGTTGGGAAATGAAATAAAATAATTGTCTGTGTTTATCTATTATTTTATTGCATTTTTTTTATTGCAAAATAATAAAAAAATCAATTGTGTGTTTATTAAAATGAAATCGTTCATGAAATGTTGCTGCAAAGTAAAATAAAATATTAATTGTCTGCAATTATCGAAACGAATTCACTTATGAAATGTTGCAAAATAAAATAAAATTGCAAAAAATTAATTAAATAAAATATTAATCGTCTACGTTTTGCAAAACAAATTCACAAAATAAATAAATATCAATATTAATTGTTTTCCCAGAGATGAGTTGTGGCTGGAAGGGCATCCGCTGCGTAAAAACTTGCTGGATAAGTTGGTGGTTCATTCCGCTGTGGCGACCCCGGATTAATAAAAAGAATAAGCCGATAAGAAAATGAATTAATGAATATTAATTATGTGTTTATTAAAATGAATTAATTCAAGAAATGTTGTTACCAAATAAATATAAATTTTAATTAATTTAATATTTATTAAATTATTAATTAATTTAATTAATTAATTTTAATATTTTTAAAATATAAATATTAATTGTCTGCGTTTAGCAAAACAAATTTACTCATGAAATGATGCAAAATAAAAAATTATATATATATATATATATATATATATATATATATATATATATATATATATATATATATATATATATATCAATTGTGTGTTTATTAAAATTATTGAATGAAATGTTGCTAAAATAAAAAAATAAAAAATAAAATATTAATTGTTTGCATTTAGTAAGATGAGTTCACTCAAGAAATGTTGCAAAATAAAATTATACAAAATAAATTAAAATAAATAATAATCGCCTGCATTTAGCAAAACAAATTCACTGATGAAATGTTGCAAAATAAATAAATAAAATGATAATTGTGTGTTTATTAAAATGAATTCATTCATGAAATGTTGTTGCAAAATAAAATAAAAAATTCATTTTCTGCGTTTAGCAAAACTAATTCAGTCATGAAATGTTGTTGCTAAATAAAATAAAATTAAAATTAAAATTAAAAAGCTCAATGAACTAACTCAGGAAATGTTGTGACGAAATAAAAAATTAATTTTCTGCATTTAAAAAAACAAATTAACTCATGAAATGTTGCAAAAAAATAATAATAATAAGATGCCAATTGTGTGTTTATTAAAATGAATTCATTCATGAAATGTTGCAAAACAAAGTCAAATTAAAATAAAAAAATAATTGTCTGCTTGAATAATTGTCAACACACAAATTTTCAGTGTGTTTTGGTTGCCAATACTACAAATTAACCCCAAGATACTACGACAAAAACAAGAAATAACACTGATAAACAGACCACATCAAAGCAATATCCTTTGTAGCTTTAAATTCGTCCATTAGCATAGTGAAAAACCTACCAGCATCCGGCGCCCCACTGGCCAGAGTCTGGTTTACTTCATCCTGAGTGTCGCACAGCTGTGCAAAAAGGCAAGAATGGGAAAATGAAGACAGTCTTTTAAAGTATGGCAAAACTACTACAGCATAAGTCCCCATAAATCACCTCCTGTATCTGATCAACCAGGTTTTCTGCTCGCTCCACAGTCACACCCTTCAGTGAGATTCTCAGAGCCGCCACACCTGCCTGGTATGCCTGCATCACCTGTATCATAACATTAAGTAACATTAACACACACATATTGAATGTATTGAAACAAAATGTTAATTTGATATCTACATAGACTGTATGTGTCTTGGCTGAGTGCACACATTCTCCACAAGTGTTTTTCCTAGCACTAAACTAAAAGATATTCTTGGTTTTGACCTTATTTGGAAGGGTCATGAATATTAATACGCTCTCATGTCAGTGCTTGACACTCACACAAACGCACACAAGGTGATGTACTCTGAAATACAAAATAATAATACTAATATTTGTCATAAAATAATAATACAAATCGAGTAGATAACTTGTTAACTGATGGTTTATTTTAGCTAGAAGGAAAGAATGTTGCCATTTTATGCTACCACAGTAACCTTTTTTGCTCCAGAGTTGTGTTGTGGATGAAATATAGGCTAAAATATATTTATAATAAACAAAATAGACTGAGGGTGCTTTCACACCTACACTTTTGTTTCGGAACGTATCTCGTTTGCCCAGTTAGCGCGGTTCGATTGGCATATGTGAACAGGGCAATCGCGCTCTGTTCCGCGCCAAAGTAATCGCTCCGAGATCGCTTGAATGAGGTGGTCTCGACTCGATTGAAACGAACCCTGGAGCGGTTCGATTGCAGTGAGAAAGCGATCCGATCCGAGCGCGGTTATATCACAGTGTTTTATGGATATGTAATAGGCTTACGGCTATATGAAAAGAGAATTATGAGTAGGGCGGGAAGTTTCGCGCGTCTCCGGATGCCCGCAAACGAGTGATGATCTCCCGGTAATCTCGCGTCTCCCTCCAGGTCCTCAAATAGGCATCGTCGCGCACCCTTCTCACCCCTCCCCACCGCGTCTCTCCTCAGACACATCACGCGCGCGCACCCTGTCAATCACCACCAAACCACCACCTCTCCTGACAGCTGAGCGGGACGCTGCAAAATAAACCCTGACACTCTGACCAATGTAAGGAGAGTTTACTCACACGTGACTTGTTTTAGCTCTTTTGGTCCGATTAGAAACTTTGCAGTGTGAAAGTGAACCGCTCCAAGAGCAAAGAGCAACAATGTAACAATTTAATCTCTGTTTCGGAACAACTGAATCGATTCACAGGTGTGAAAGCACCCTGAGAGAGACATATTTATAGAGTATTTTGTGGTTTTAATGGCAGCACAGTGGCTCTGTGGTCAGCACTGTTGCCTCACAACAAGAAGGGTGCTCTGGTTTCCCCCACAGTCCAAACACATGCGCTATGGGTGAATTAGGTTAACTAAATTGGCCGTAGTGTATGAGTGTGTGTGAAAGTGAAAGTGTATGGGTGTTTCCCAGTACTAGGTTGTGACTGGATAGGCATCCACTATGTAAAACTTATGCTGGAATAGTTGGCGGTTCATTCCGCTGTGGTCACCCCTGATAAATAAGGGACTAAGCCTATGAATGTGGTTTTAATGTATATGAAAACAGGCAGAAATTACTATCAACAACCTTTGAGTCTAGAAAAATCACAGTAAGAGCTTAGTGATATGACTTGACGCATAAACGTATAAACGCAATAAACAATTCATATTCAGCAGTCTACAAATGTCTGTTGCCTCATTACAATAATACACATCAAATTTTACAATATATACATTAAACCAACATAAGATACATTTAAACAGATCTTATGCCTCTTCAGGGTGGCTTATGAATGCATTTTTAATCCGTATATCCTGCATTTTGCTTTCTAATGAACTGTGAACACTCTGTGGTCTTGCATGGCTGCCTGCTTCACAAAACTGCTTACTCCCATATTCAAATAAGAGTCCACACATACATAGAAAGCATAATAGAAGCTTGGATGAACTCAAAAATGAGGGAAATTTTTATCATTGTTGTAATCTCACTACAATTAAGCCTGTAACAAATTACACTCTGCGGCCACTTTATTAGGTACACCTTACTAGTACAGTGTTGGAGCCTGTTTTGCCCTCAAAACTGCCTTAATCCTTTGTGGGATAGATTCAACAAGGTACTGGAAAGATTCTCGAGTGTATGTATATATATTTTGGAAACATGAGGCAGGGAAACTAAAAGCAGAGCAAATTTTTTTTAAAAGCAAGCAGCTATGTATGCCAACGGAGAGTTTACAGCTGCTCAAAATGCAGGAAATACAGATTATAAATGTATTCAGCGGCACCGAGAAAAGGAATAAAGTCTGTTTAAATGCCTTTTTTTGTTGTTCTGTTAGTGAGTTTGTCCTTAATATTCACTCTAATATCAAAAATGGTCAAAAAACAAGCTTTAGATTAAAGGTGTAATTCCTGTTGTTATTAATAAGCATTTGAAACCATTTCTGGTGGAGGAGCTACTCTAAGGCTCTGTTTACACTAGTGCGTTTTAGTTTTAAAACGGCGTTTTAGATCAAAAACGATCTGCGCCCACACTAGCGTTTCACCTAGCGTCTCTGAACATATCTCCGTCCACACTAGGCCACCAAAAACGTATATCACGTGACCATTCTCACACTCTGGGCATTCTAGTATAAACAGGAAGCATGTGTCTCGCTCTGCATTTGGTTATTGTTAGTCAACAAACGCAGTTTGAACAATGAACGCGATGGCAAAGAAAGCAAGAGAGGTATTTTTGTGGACAGATGACAAGGTCGAGTTGTTATTAAACATAACAAATGAATAACTGCACAATGCTGCCTAAAACAGACAATAGTGCAAACAACGCTCCCATGTCTGTGTCCATGTTGTTGTTTACAGTGAAGGCTGGTCTGTCGTCTCCGGTAGCGTTAAGCTAGCTCTCTGCAACTCTCACATGGTCGCCCACTGAAGCTAAGCAGGGCTGCGCCCGGTCAGTACCTGGAAGGGAGACCACATGGGAAAGCTAGGTTGCTGCCGGAAGTGGTGTTAGTGAGACCAGCAGGGGGCGCCCAACCTGCGGTCTGTGTGGGTCCTAATGCCCCAGTATAGTGACGGGGACGCTATACTGCTCAGTGAGCGCCGTCTTTCGGATGAGACGTTAAACCGAGGTCTTGACTCTCTGTGGTCGTTAAAAATACCAGGATGTCTTTTGAAAAAGAGTAGGGGTTTCACCCCGGCATCCTGGCCAAATCTGCCCACTGACTTCTGCCCATCATGGCCTCCTAACCATCCCCATCTTCAATTGGCTTCATCACTCTGTCTCCTCTCCACCAATCAGCTGGTGTGTGGTGTGCGGTCTGGCGCAAAATGGCTGCCGTCGCGTCATCCAGGTGGATACTGCACACTGGTGGTGGATGAGGAGATCCCCCCCATTGTGTAAAGCGCTTTGAGTGCCCAGAAAAGCGCTATATAAATGTAAGGAATTATTATTATTATTAAAGCCATGTGTTACAGTCATGTGATAGGGGCTTGACGAATAAGGGAGGGATACGCAATAACACAAAAGCCCCAATCAGGTAGCGAATCTCAGCAGCCCCGCCTCCGTTTACAGATGTCTCCGTTTTCCCCCATCCACACTGAGACAGAGCAGCAGCGTTTCAGAATGAAAACGGCCTCTCCAGCGTTTCCAAAACGCTCCGTTTTCTGCGCTAAAACTCCGGTGTAGTGTGGACGGATGGCGTAACCATAGCAAAACTTATGCGTTTTCAAACTAAACGCATTAGAGTAAACGGGGCCTATATCCCACCCTATGTTTCACCTGAGATTACGTCAAACATCAAATAAAAAAATGCACATTTCAAAGCACCTCATGGGGACTTCAAGTGTAGACATTAAATGCAGAAAGGAGAAAAGTGCAATCAGATGGCGTGAATGCAAGTGAAGTGATGAATCATGGGTGATATAGAGTGTTGTCTGTCGACAGCATGTGTTGTTGTTCACACCAGACTGTCAGATAATCTGTGCGTCTCACCAGGCGGTCGGTCTGGGAGTTTGCTATTCTGTCCAGGATCCCCTTCACTGTTTCAAGCTGAGCAAACAGACGATCCGCTTTCTTCTCCACCCGTTTGCTCCCACGTAAACACCTCAGGGCCTGTGGACGGAGAAAGCCGGAATTAATAACTAATAATCATAAATGAATAAATAAGCTGTATAAGTGAGTGTATACCTGTGATTTCTTCCCCTCTTTAAGCAGCGATTTTGCCTGCTGCTTGCACCTAGGTTTTAAACACATGCATCAGATGCAGTACCATCATAATTACCCATCATGCCACGATAACCGGATGAAAAGTCTCACTTTTCGGCCTCGTGTCCCAGAGCCTCCACGCGCTCCTCCAGAAGCTTCTCGCTGCACTGGAGCTGGTAGATTCCCAAGTCCACCTCGCTCACAGGAGACACGCGGCCCTGTCCCGCCTGACTGAATTTCACCAGCTATACGGAGACATGGGTAAAAGTTTAATCAGAGCTGAGCAATCCGAACCCAAACAAGTACTAAAGCTGCTCATGATTTCAAAGAGCCCCTATTGTGGGTTTTCGAAAATGAGCTTCCATGTAGTGTGTAACACAGATCTAAGTGAAGTGAAATATCCAGCTAAGGCTTAGGGTGCTTTCACATCTGTAGTTCGCTTCATTTGGTCTGCTCCAAGGGTAATAAATGATACATTGTTGCATCTTCTGCCGTCTTTGGGTCGCTTTCACACCACACTGCTGGCTTTAGTCCGAACTAGTTGAAACGAACCAAAATGCAGTCATCTGACAAAATCCACATCTCTCATTGGCCAGCTGTTGTTGAACATATTTCCTAAACTGCTTATTGATTGGTCAGAATTGACGTGCGGGAAAATGCCAGTGAACTCCCGCAGGTAAACAAAACCTTTTACTCTGGAGGGACGACTGCGCTGGCTGATTGTTTCCCTGCTTTAGACAAACTATACATTACGAAAATGAAGCGCAGCAGCGGCTGGAAAACAGTGTTCAATGCATCGCACGTCACTTCAGGAGGAGACGTGAATTAATTTAGCTAAAAACTTGGGTAGTAATAGCCAAGGTAGTGGCTATTCTTCCTGGGGTCCATCGAAGATAACACAAAATTACATTAATACACAACAACAAAGACTAATAAAAACATTAAAATACAAAATTCATACACAACATCCAAATCAACAATCCACTTAATATTGTTCCATTAAATATTTTTTAAATGATTTTTTTTTTTTGGTCTTTTTTTTTTTATGTGGTCTAAAATCAGCTGTTTCCTTTTTGTTTTTGTTTTCATTTATATATTTATGTATATTCTTATTGTGTAAATTTATAAATGTCACATCTGATAACAGGGCCGGAGTGGGACTCCTTTTCAGCCCTGGAGTTTCAAGCATTGGAGCGGCCCACCTCAGTTCACGACTGACTATATTAAAATGAGGTCATTTCCGATTCAGTTTCTAATGACACTATCACTCCTTTTTCAAGAGAACAGCTGCTTTAAAACTTCAAATGTTCAACAACCTTACAGTTTTATATGTCTTAACAATAAAAATGAAAAAAAAAAAAAAGATTTACTCAGGTGAGATTCGAACATGGATCGACGACATCGTAACGCAACGTGCTGACCACTGGACCACAATGGCGCTGTTACAATTATGTGGCCGGAATGAAAGTTAGATTATCATTACCATCCAGGCTGCATTTTGCTCATGGGGCTGTGAGACAATAAATAAGAAGAGCGAAGCTGCTGCAAAATAATGAATAAAAAGAGTGAGGCTATGGTCAAATAAATAAATAAATGAGAAAAAAAATTGCGACTGCTGAGAGCGCAAGCAGCTAGAAACACCGGCCCTCGCAGCCAAAAAATGGACCGGCCCACCGGGAACTCTCCCGGTCCTCCCGATTGGCCAATCCGGGCCTGTCTGATAAATTTAAATTTAAATAAGCATTATATTGAATAAAAGTATTATTTGAGTCAAAAATCATACCGACCCCAAACTTCTGAATGAGCACACAGAGAGTCACTGAAAGCCTACGTTATTATCTACGATTTTCCCTTCATAAATGAACACACAGACTGACCTTCTCTCCTTCGTGGAGCGAGACGGTGACGTGTTTCTCTCTCTGGAGCTGCAGCAGAGCCATGCAGAGTGTGCTTTCGTCAGGACAGATGTGAGACGAGAGAGAACGCAGCTCTTGGAAAGACAGCAGAGAGCGCGCTGATAAAGCAGAGCCCCGATATGCCGCTAAAAGCTCTGCAGCCTTTTCCTACAAGTGAAATACAGCTTTCATTACAATCAGCCTTGACCCATAACTACCTGCATGCGCTGTGGACTCCAGGTTTTTTTTTGCTATTATATTTTATTAATTTCCGTTTGTACGCACTGAAATACAACACTTCACATACAATTTTTTTTGCAACAATAACCTTGCTGCATGGGGCAGCACAATGGCTCGGTGGTTATACAGAGAGTGTATGGGTGTTTCCCAGCACTGGGTTGTCGCTGGAAGTGCATCCGCTGCATAAAACATATGCTGGAATAGTTGGCGATTCATTCCACTGTGGCAACCCCTGATAAATAAGGGACTAAGCCAAATGAAAATGAATGAATAAATTAACCTTGCTGCATTTACAAAATATACTGAATAAAATGATATCTACAAACATATTTCCAGGTGTTTTTAAAAAATTTTCTAAGTTTAAGTGTTTAAGACATTACAATTTATATAATCAATTACATATTTGTAAGTCATTTAATTACATTAACTTAACTAGAATTAATTTGTAACTAATTACATAAACACTAAATTCAAGTCAAGTCTAAATTGTCAAATCATGGACAATCAAAAAAAAAAAGTTTGCTTAAGAAGGCTAATAATGTTGACCTTAAAACGTTTTTCTTAAAAAAATTAAAAACTGCTTTTATTTTAGCCGAAATAAAACAAATAAGACTTTCTCCAGAAGAAAAAAATATTATAGGAAATACTGTGAAAAATTCCTGAATCTGTTCAACATCATTTGTAAAATATTTAAAAAACAAAAAAAACAAAAACAAAGGAGGGCGAACAATTTTGACTTCAGCTGTATATATTGTTGTTTTTCAAGCTGTGGTTTTGACTGCAGACACACTTACTTTGACTAGTTCGATGACAACGAAGGACTCCTCCAGCGGGACTCTCCCACTGCCCAGCAGAGCCGACAGGGTCCATTTCAGAGGCCGGACTAACAAGAGTCCAACACCCCACGACAGCCAGCCCGAGTCCACGTTTGCAGCAAAGTCGGATTCCTTCTGTACCTTCCCACTCCTGAAGGACAAGAAAACACGCTCAATCCACAGAAAACATACACAGACTATCAGACACTGTATTTTAGGAGGATCTGTCTGTCTGTCTGTCTATCTATCTATCTCTCTATCTATCTATCTATCTATCTGTCTATCTGTCTATCTGTCTGTGTATCTATCTGTGTGTCTGTCTATCTATCTATCTATCTATCTATCTATCTATCTATCTACCTATCTATCTATCTATCTATCTATCTGTCTGTCTGTCTGTCTGTCTGTCTGTCTGTCTGTCTGTCTGTCTGTCTATCTATCTGTGTATCTATCTGTGTGTCTGTCTGTCTATCTATCTATCTATCTATCTATCTATCTATCTATCTATCTATCTATCTATCTATCTATCTATCTATCTATCTATCTATCTATCTATCTGTCTGTCTGTCTGTCTGTCTGTCTGTCTATCTATCTGTGTATCTATCTGTCTGTCTGTCTGTCTGTCTGTCTGTCTGTCTGTCTGTCTGTCTGTCTGTCAATCAATCAGTCTGTCTGTATGTCTGTCTGTCTGTCTGTCTGTCTATCTATCCATCCATCCATCCATCCATCCATCCATCCATCTATCTATCTATCTGTCTGTCTGTCTGTCTGTCTGTCTGTCTGTCTGTCTGTCTGTCTGTCTGTCTGTCAATCAATCAGTCTGTTTGTCAATCAATCTATCTATCTATCTATCTATCTATCTATCTATCTATCTATCTATCTATCTGTCTGTCTGTCTGTCTGTCTGTCTATCTATCTGTGTATCTATCTGTGTGTCTGTCTGTCTATCTATCTATCTATCTATCTGTCTGTCTGTCTGTCTGTCTGTCTGTCTGTCTGTCTGTCTGTCTGTCAATCAATCAGTCTGTCTGTATGTCTGTCTGTCTGTCTGTCTGTCTATCTATCCATCCATCCATCCATCCATCCATCAATCCATCTATCTATCTATCTATCTATCTATCTATCTATCTATCTATCTATCTATCTATCTATCTATCTATCTGTCTGTCTGTCTGTCTGTCTGTCTGTCTGTCTGTCTGTCTGTCTGTCTGTCTGTCTGTCTGTCTGTCTGTCTGTCTGTCTGTCTGTCTGTCAATCAATCAGTCTGTTTGTCAATCAATCTATCTATCTATCTATCTATCTATCTATCTATCTATCTATCTATCTATCTATCTATCTATCTATCTATCTATCTATCTATCTATCTATCTATCTATCTATCTACCTACCTGTCTGTCTGTCTGTCTGTGTATCTGTCTGTCTATCTATCTATCTATCTATCTATCTATCTATCTATCTATCTATCTATCTATCTATCTATCTATCTATCTATCTATCTATCTATCTATCTATCTATCTATCTACCTGTCTGTCTGTCTGTCTGTCTGTCTGTCTGTCTGTCTGTCTGTCTGTCTGTCTGTCTGTCTGTCTGTCTGTGTATCTGTCTATCTGTCCGTCCGTCCGTCCGTCCGTCAATCAGTCTGTCTGTCTGTCTGTCTGTCTGTCTGTCTATCTATCTGTCTGTCTGTCTGTCTGTCTGTCTGTCTGTCTGTCTGTCTGTCTGTCTGTCGGTCTGTCGGTCTGTCGGTCTGTCGGTCTGTCTGTCGGTCTGTCTGTGCATCTATCTATCTATCTATCTATCTGTCTGTCTCGTCACTTTAGAATTACAAGGTTCTCTCTGACATTTTTGTCAAAATTGAGTTATTGACATTCTTATTAAATGACAACTTATTTACATTATGGGATGTTTTTATTAGTTGTTTACATTTTCATATTTGTAAACATTTTTAAAGAAATGTTACAGACATACTGTTTGCTATGGAATGCAAAAACTTTGAAGCTCAATATCCCAAATTATTCAGAACGCAGATAAAACCTTATAATTCCAAGGTGACATTCTGTCTATAATGTGTAATGTCTGTCTGTATTCCCTTTGTTTTTAAATTTATGTTATAATGCCGTTTTATTTTCAATTTTATGTTATGCATTTTAATTTATGTTATGTTATGTTACATTCTGAAAAAGTATTACCATAAACAACATTTTTGTGACACCACAATATAAATGAGAACATAAATTAATTGAAATAATTTCGTTATGATGCAGTTTCATTGAATTCAATTTAATTATTTGCATTATAATGCCATTTTATTTACTTATTTATTATGCCACTTTATTGCATTTGTTATAATGCCGTTTTATTTTAGGTTATTCAATTCATTAATTTGTTAATGTTATAATGCCAACTTATTTTTGAATTATTTAATTATTTATGTTATAATTTAACTTAATTATTTGTGTTGTTGACATTTTGTGACACCACAGTATATATGAAGACTTATTATACTGTCCATAATGAGTCAAAATTATTCACCCTCCAGTAAAATTTTTATATTTTTTCTTCTGGAGAAAGTCTTATTTGTTTTATTTCGTCGAGAATAAAAGCAGTTTTCAATTTTTTTGAACCCTTTTAAGGTCAATATTATTAGCCCCTTTAAGCAATATTTGTTTCAATAGTCTACAGAACAAACCACTGTTATACAATAACTTCATTTATTAGAAATGAGTTATTAAAGCTATTATGTTTAGAAAAGTTCTGAAAACAGAAATTGGGAAGAGACTACATACAGCGGGCTAATAATTCTGTCTTCAACTGTAAATATATAAATAAAAATACTGTTATTCTCTCACCTGATCATGCTCTGGATGACAGTACTCAAGCCCAGAGGAACTGAGCCCTTTCTTCTGAAATTTTCATTCAGATCCTGCAGATTAACACACACAGATCCGCATCTCCTGCAGTGCTCGATGATCAGCGGGCTCCAGAAGTCGATCTTCCCATCCCAGTCGGTGCAGTCCACATCTCGGTTCTCTTTAAAGGCCGAGAATAAGAAAGACATCCGTTCGTCGTCATCCCAGTCTGGAGGAAACCACCCGCTCCTCTTTTCCACCGAAACTGACATTGTGCTGCGAACCAGAGTTTGGATGATTACTTCAAGGACAACTAAAACACTTTAGTGATCAAAAAGCACAATATATCACAGAATTATCACTATCACAATAATAGCATACGCACTATACACTCACCGGCCACTTTATTAGGTACACCTGTCCAACGCAACTTTCTAATCAGCCAATCACATGGCAGTAACTCAATGCATTTATGCATGTAGACAAGGTCAGGACGACCTTCTGCAGTTCAAATCGAGCATCAGAATGGGGATTTAGGCTATTTCCAGCAGGATAACCTGCCATGTCATAAAGCGTGAATCATCTCAGACTGGTTTCATAAACATGACAATGAGTTCACTGTACTCAAATGGCCTCCACAGTCACCAGATCTAAATCCAATAGAGCACCTTTGGGATGTGGTGAAATGGGAGATTCACATCATGGATGTGCAGCCGACAAATCTGCAGCAACTCTGTGACGCTATCATCTCAATATGGAGCAAAATCTCTGAGGAATATTTACAGTACCTTGTTGAATCTAAGCCATGAAGGATTACGGCAGTTCTGAAGGCAAAAGGGGTCCAATCCGGTACTAGTAAGGTGTACCTAATAAAGTGGCCAGTGAGTGTACGTATCTGAGGTGTAAAAAAAATGCATTTATTTTATGCATAGGTTGTTTATTTAAACTTAAGCAATCAGATGGGGTCTCACTATCTTTAGCTAAATGCATCTAAATTCAAGATTTCTTTTCAAAATAGCAATATTAAGACTATCTGGTCAAATTGTATTCATATCGCACTATATATCGTTGCAGAAAAACTAAAAAGCGCATGCATTCAGTCTGTAAGTAAATATATCAACTAACATTAATCATGTGTCACATATTTTAAAGTGTTATCAAAAACATTCCTAAGATGATTATACTAAAGTGTAAATTGAATTTAACGCTTTCAGACAACTATATAATGTTATTGGCAATTAAACAATAATATATTACATTTTAAATGTATATATTACGCAATTTAACTAAGTGTTTTGTATTCTACATGTTGTTTTTTAAATCATTTACGGTTTTTGATTTACGGTTTTTGAAATATTATTGTGTACAATCCAACTTAATGACAGGATTTATGCTGAATAAAATATATAATGTCATTTAAATGTGCATTTATATTATATTAACGTCAGATGCAATATTGAACATGCCACACCTCAGTTAAAAGTTCTTCACATTAGCTTTAGCATGTAGCACTAAATGCCATTTAAAGCAGCCATGAATGTGTCCTTCAATTTTACCCGAGTAAAGTTATAATATAAAGGTGTTTTTTTGTGAAGTATGACACTTTGAAGACTGTTAAGTGGACATTTAAGTGCACTTCTGCAGTATTTTACAAGGGTGACAAGCATCAAAATGTCAAATTTAGGATAGTAACGTTAATTCAATTGAGGCGTATGTAAGTAAATACATTAACTAACATTTAGCATGTGTCACATACTGTAAAAGTGTTATCAAAAACATTCCTAAGATGATTATACAAAAGTGCAAACTGAATTTAACGCTTTCAGACAATTATTTAATGTTATTCGCAATTAAAAAATAATATATTACATTTTAAATTTATACAATACACAATTTAACTAAGTGTTTTGTATTCGACATGTTGCTTTATAAATCATTTTCAGTTTTCTAAATGTAATTGTGTACTATCCAACTTAATGACAGGATTTATGCTGAATAAATTATGTAATGTCATTTGAATTTACATTTTAGCAGTATTGAAATATAGTTGCACATTAGTAATGCAATTTCGTTGCAATTAAAAACATGTATAGGGTAATTTATTAACGTCAGATGCAATATTGAACATGCCACACCTCAGTTAAAATAGTTCTTCAGATTAGCTTTAGCATGTAGCACTAAATGCCATTTAAAGCAGCCATGAATGTGTACTTTAATTATACCCGAGTAAAGTTATAATATAAAGGTGTTTTTTGTCAAGTATGACACTTTGAAGACTATTAAGTGGACATTTTAAGTGCAGTTTTTCAAAAGGGAGTCAAGCATCAAAATGTCAAATTTAGGATAGCAACGTTAATTCAGTGGACGCGTATGATTAGCATTAACAATACTTGTTTTGTCTTTTGGATTTCAATTAAAATTGTAAATAATAATGGCATAAATGTAAAGTCTGCGTCACTTTGTACAGCAAACATGTCTGTTTTTATGCCCTGTCATAAACGCAAAGTACACCACAGCTTTCACTTTCCCTCACACGATGCTAGCAACACATCAGAAGGTCAAACCAGAGGCTGACAGCCATCATTTATAACAATATACTAACTATATATCATTAATAAATCTAGCTGTCAGCATCAAGTGAGCTGCTTGCTGATCTTAGGAAGGATTTATCTAACGTTAACGTTAATAAGATTTGATGTGAAATCAAACCTCAAGCTGAAGCAGCAGGATGAAGTCCTCAGCTAAAATCTCCTCAGTAAATGTCCTGACATCCATCAGCAGGGATCCACATAATGTTTATATGATCTGCAGTATAGAAAAAGACGAGTAAACCTCCGTCTTTCTTCTTCTTTCTGTTTTTCCCCTTCCTCTGTTGTTTAGCTGGAGGTTGTAAAACCAACTTTAAAGTGGATCTTCCACCACCTACTGGATTGGAGTAACTGTAACAGGTAATGTTCTCCCAAACATTAACATTTACTCACTATTTACTCACCCTCAAGTGGTTCCAACCCTTTATGAGTGTATTTCTTTCTGTTGAACACAAAAGTAGATACTTTGAAGAATGCTGGAAACCTGTAACCATCCACTTCCATAGTAAGAAAAACAAATGGTCTTGTATGGAAGTCAGTGGTTGCATGTTTTCAGCTTTCTTCAATGAACATTTACTCATTATTTACTCACCCTCCAGTGGTTACAACCCCTTATGAGTGTATTTTTTCTGTTGAACACCAAAGAAGACAGTTTGAAGAACGCTGGAAACCTGTAACTATTGACTTTCATAGTAGGATAAACAAATATGATACAATGGAAGTCAATGGTTACAGGTTTTCAGCTTTCTTCAATGAACATCTTCTCAATATTTACTCACCCTCAAGTGGTTTCAACCCATTTTTTGAGTATATGTATTTTTTTCTGCTAAACACGAGAAGATACTTTGAAGAATGCTGGAAACATGGTTACAGGTTCTTCACTGAACATTTACTCACCCTCAAGTTGTTCCAACCCTGTATGAGTGTATATATATATATATATTCTGTTAAACACATGATACTTTGAAGAAAGCTGAAATTCTGTAACCATTGACTTTAATAGTAGGAAAACAAATAACCTTCAATGGAAGTCAATAGTTACAGGTTTTCATCTTTTTTTAATGAACATTTACTCACCCTCAAGTGGTTACAACCTTTTTAAGAGTATATTTTTTTCTGTTAAACACAAAAGAAGATACTTTGAAGAAAGCTGGAAACCTGTAACCATTGACTTTTAAAGTAGGATAAACAAATAGGATACAATGGATGTCAATGGTTACATATTTTCAGCTTTCTTCTCTGAACATTTACTCACCCTCAAGCTGTTCCAACCCTTTATGAGTATATATATATATAATTTATTTTATTTTTTCTGTTGAACACAAGATTCTTTAAAGAAAGCTAAACTTATGTAACCATCGACTTCCATAGTAAGATAAACAAATAGGCTCCAATGGAGGTCAGTGGTTACAGGTTTTCAGTTTTCTTCAGTGGAAGTTTACTCACTATTTACTCACCCTCAAGTGGTTCCAACCCTTTATGAGTATTTATATTTTTCTGTTGAACACAAAAGAAGATACCTTGAAGAAAGCTGAAATCCTGTAACCATCTACTTTCATTGTAGGATAAACAAATAGCCTACAATGCAAGTCAATGGTTACAGGTTTTCATCTTTTTTTTTTTAATGAACATTTACTCGCCCTCAAGTGGTTACAGCCCTTTATGAGTGTATTTTTTTATGTTGAAAACAAAAAAAGATACTTTGAAGAAAGCTGGAAACCTGTAACCATTCACTTTCATAGTAGGAAAAACAAACAGGATACAATGGAAGTCAATGGTAACAGGTTTTCAGCTTTCTTCAATGGAAATTTACTCACCATCAAGTGCTTCCAACCCTTTATGAGTATATGTATTTTTTTCTGTTAAGTACAAAAGAAGATACCTTAAGAAAGCTGGTTACCTGTAACCATTGAGTTCCATAGTAGGATAAACAATCACTATGGAAGTCAATGGTTACAGGTTTTCAGCTTTCCTCAATAACATTTACTCACCCTTCGTTACAACCCTTTACAAGTTTATTTTTTCTGTTAAACACAAAATAAGATATTTTGAAGAAAGCTGGAAACCTGTAACCATTTACTTCCATAGGAAAAACAAATAGCCTACTATGGAAGTCAATAGTTACTTGTTTTCAGCTGTCTTCACTATTTACTCACCCTCAAGTGGTTCCAACTTTTTATTATGGAAGTCGGTGGTTACTGGTTGTCAGCTTTCTTACTCACCCTCAAGTGGTTTCAACCCTTCACAAGAAAATTTTTCCTGTTAAACACAAAAGAAGATGGTTTGAAGAATGCTGAAAACCTGTAACCATTGACTTCCATAGTAGGAAAACCAAATGGCCTGCTATGGAAGTCAATAGTTACAGGTTTTCAGCTTTCTTCAGTGAACATTTACTCACTATTTATGCACCCTCAAGTGGTCAAAAGTCTTTACAAGTATTTTTCTTTTGTGTTAAAAACAAAATAAGATAGTTTGAAGAATGCTGAAAACATGTAACCATTGACTTCCATAATAGGAAAACCAAATGTTAAAACCAATAGTTACCGGTTTTCAGCTTTCTTCAGTGAACATACTCACTATTTATGCACCCTCAAGTAATTTAAAACCCTTTACAACAAATTTTTTTTCTGTTAAACACAAAATAAGATACTTTAAACAAAGCTGAAATCCTGTAACCATCGACTTCCATAGTAGGAAAAACAAATACTATGGAAGTCAATGGTTACAGGTTTTTAGCTTTCTTCGAAATGCCTTTTGTGTTCAAATTAAATCCTATCCATCAATCCTTTATCAATCATATAGCTAAACATTTCATATTAACGTCATAATACCAGTCAAACACTTTTCTCACTGTCATTCAGTCTAATAATAAAGCTTATTACAGTTTTGTTACTGTAGATTATTAATTTAGGCTACTAAGTAATCATTTTTTATACATTGATTTTATTTAGGAAGTGAACATTCTCTCTAACACACACTAAATAAAGCAATTTCTTGCAAATACTTTTGAACTATACTATAGTAAAGTACTTGAATTAATCTGTTGTGGGAAATTAGAATTACTCAGGTAACTGCAACTTAACAAACTACCCAATATTGTACTATAAACACACAATACACCACATTTTACTGTAGTAAACTAAAGCACACCACACTGTTTATTATAGTTGATCAGTTCATAAATATTGAATATGATCATAACCCTAAATTGTACAGAAACACCATGTTGTTCACTATAAACACCTTCAGTATTTTAACCTGCATACACACAACACATGACACAAAGATTCCTTAACAAGGCTTTATTAAAAGCAACTGTACATAATACCACAGTAACATTGCAAAACTTTATACACATTCAACTTGGCATTGTTCCATGTGGGAAGCACAAGCAGTGCTGCACCTCTGGAGGAAGATGATCTACATGCAACACATCTTAATCATCTCCTCCATTCCCCCTCGTGTCTTATGTTCTGGTGTTGTCCAGCAGAGATGGAGAATGCTTCTTCTGAAGGTGGCACTGGTGCAAGAAATGACTCACCGTGGCGGGAGCATCTCGGGCCACAAGATGTGCAGCCTTCGACCTTTTATAAAGGTGCATGAGACCAGAATCAAGCCTCCTACTGTGGCATTTCGGAGGCTGAGGCTCAAATGACCTTGTTAACGTTATCTCAGGCTGCGTCTGGATTCTTATGTGGTGCACCTGCGGGAATTGAATTTCCTGCACATGCACCTGCACCTTGACTTGCTTTTCCACAACACGACGAGGAAGACTTTTTCTCTCCTTCTGAAGCTCAACCAGTGGTGGGAGCTTCAGCTTCTGTGGCCGCTGCGCTCGAACAGCAAGGCGCCGACGCACAGTTTTAGGAGGGACAGTCGAGTCTTCCTCTCTCTCCGGCTCTGCAGAAACAACGAGGAGTTCCTTCTTCTCAGAAACAGCTTCGACTGGGATTTCCTCCTCAGGAGCAGTGATGGGGAGAGAAGTCTCCTCTTCTGCAGGATACGGAGCTTCTGTGTTATCCTGCACAACACGATCGGTGTTCTCAGCCTTCCGCGTCCGGACATGCTCCTCCAGTTTCTCATAAACACCCAATTTGATGTTGCGGAGGCGGAATCGGTTTAGGTCAGGAAACGGTTTATTCGGGGCCACAGGCTTCTTCGCAGTCTTAGACACTGGCTTTGGGGCCGGTGGAGGAGGAAAGCGTGTGACCCTGACGTCCAGCTTCTTCAGTAGCTCCGTCGAGGGGGTATAGTCAAAATATGGGTGGTGATTCTCAGGACAAGATTCCTCTTCAACAGAGACACTGGAGGGTCTCCGGAGTACGGGCCTTTTTGGACGTAGCCACGACACACCTTGCTTCTCCTCGGTGGCGGGGCGCGTGATTTTCGGAGAGTGTAAAAGACTCCGAACCACAGAATTCGGAATAAAGCCGTCTGGGGCAATCGGCCAGACTTGCCTCCTAAAACTAGACTTGTCCGGCGACTTAGTCGCCGGGGGACGAGGAGTGTATGTCATTTTAAAAGTTGTCGTCATGTTGGCCATATTACTCTCAAAAATAAAGCAAAATCAATTAGGACGAACTGCTGAAAGCGAGTAAATGCAATCTTCTGGCCGCTTTTGATTAAAAATGGCGAAATTCTTCCAGACCCGCGCTTTAGAACACGTTCTAATAGAATGTTTGACGTCACGTTAGAACTTGACGTGTCTGTGTGTGGGGTCACGTCAGACCTTTAAAAAGTGAAATATAGTTTGCTCTTAAGTGTATCTAAAATAATAATAATAATAATATTGAAAATTATAATAACAATAATAACTTAATAATAATGATTGCGACACCCCCCCCCCCCCCCCTCCGTAATACCGCTTCGTACGGTCCACGCCATTCAATGCATAGGGAAGGGAAAACTTGTAACTTACTCATCTCCTAATAGACGCTTAAAGTGTTCAAAAGCATGCGTTTCTTGCAGTATAGCTGTTTGTTATAGTCTAAAATAAATTTAGATTGACTCTTGGTGTGTTCTTGTGTACAAACAGGTTAAACAATGCGAGCGTAATGTACCTGTGTATACCGAAAACAGGTTGTCTTTGTAAACCGCGTCTATTAAAATAGATTACAAACGTCAGAATCCAGCGATGAACACTGAACACGTAAATAACCTTGATTAATAAATGAGAAATCATTTCATTAGTAGCTGTATGAAATGGTCTCAATGAGGCATGTAGATGTTCAGCCTGAAAATGATCAAATACACGCGTATTCACTTCATTTACACCCCAGAGAAAATCAATTCAACAATATAAGACACGACACGGGAAACTGCAGATACATGTGCAGGAAAATAAACAGATGATGTCCTTTTATTGTGTGAAATGACTTTATTGCAGTACATGCTGATGACAGAAGGTTTACAGTGATTAGCAGTTTAGTACTGTGGTGTGTTCAATGAATGACCTGCATAGAAAAGCCTGAACAGTGTTCACAGTAAATGTTCATGTTATTGTTCTGGGTTACACATAATATCCCGCCAGCATTTTAATCCAGATGACACATTAATCAGGAAGTACAGTGTCTGTCTAAAAATATAATTTCAATTTTATATATGAAACCGCTCAACAATGTACATCCTATTAGGGTAGCATACAGGTAATAACTCCAGTGCATGTGGCAGATGTTACAGTTGGCAGAAAAGACCCAAATATTATATATTTTTAATGCTGATGAGGGCTCAAGGATCATTTGCACCAACAAAAATAACTATATTAGCATTCACACCAATGCATTATCATGTTGTGTTAATGCACATACGTCCAAAAAGCGGTCCAGCTTGATTTAAACAATAATAAATATTTTGAAAATGATTATATTTCATTTCAGATGCATCAGAAATCTTGTGAAATATCTGCAATGGATTATATATGATATAATATTGTAAGTTATAGCACTATAAAAGTTGTTTCGACATTGTGTGAGCATGTCCTGTCCACACACACTATCAGAATGCAGTTATAACTGATGATATGGAGGCAATTCCGCCCTTAATGAGTTGTTTCATATTATGTAATGTGGATAAGAAATAACTGTCGTATCGCATGAGGAAAAAATGCAATGATCTTTTTTCATAAGCATGCTTGCAAATACATCGGCTTTATACAACAGTTGCTGCCATTAAAATAGTTTTAAACAGAGATGGAGCAGAAAGATGCACATCATAGTGCTGTCAATCATGTTGAAGGAGTCACGAGTAGGGCCAGACTGAATCTGCAGACATTTGTTTGCTGTTTCTAGAGAGAATTTTGTAAAAAAAAATCTGCAGATTTATGCGGAATTATTTGGGGAGTATTGTAACTAAAAACTTAATATAATAAATAAAAAGTAATCGCTTTTTAACTTTTATTTAATGTTTACAATGCAAACCCAATTAGATCAACTTATTAGTAAACAATGCAAGTCTCTCATATAATAGATCTACTAAAATACAGAAGATATTACTGTCCAAAATATACTTCTATACAGCTTTAAGTGATATTTAAAGGCTTAACTTGGTTAATTAGGTTAACTAGGCAGGTGAGGGTAATTAGGCAAGGTATTATATAACGATGGTTTCTTCTGTAGACTTTCGAAAAAAATATTAGCCTAAAGGGGCTCATAATTTTGTCCTTAAAATGGTGTTTAAAAAAATGTAAAACCGCTTTTATTCTAACCGAAATAAAACAAATACGACTTTCTCCAGAAGAAAAAATATTATCAGACATAATGTGAAAATGTTCTGTTAAACATCATTTGGGAAATATTTAAAAAAGAATAAAAAATCAAAGAGTGGCTAATAAATCTGACTTCAACTGTAGGTTAACGTTTCAAAGTACGACTCTAAATACACCTCTTCCGTTCCTTATGTCAAATATAAATATATTAAAGCCTATATTTCATCAACAATACAACTCAGGAGCAAACTAGGTCACTCTGGTGGCTAAAAGATATCGTGCTCACTCCTTCTAGCTAAAATAAACCTCTCCATCACTTCAGTTGAAAAGATTGTTAACAAGGCGTCTACTCGATTTCAAATATTGTTTGAAAATAAAGTATGATTACTTTGCATATGTGTCTTCCCGAGTGCAACATGCTATGTGTGTGTGTGTGTGTGTGTGTATTCAATCAGGATGCTTTCACACCAGTGAATCAATTCAGTTGTTCCGAAACAAGGATTAAAATTGTTACATTGTTGCTCTTTGCTCTTGGTGCGGTTCGCTTTCACACGGCAAAGTTTCTAAACGTACCAAAAGAGCTAAAAACAAGTCACGTGTAAGTAAACTCTCCTCACATTGGTCAGAGTTTCACGGTTTATTTTGCAAAGAGTCCCGCTTAGCTGTCAGGGGAGGGTGGTGGTGTTTGACAGGGTGCGAGCGACGTGTCTGAAGAACGAAGAGGGATGCAGTGGTGAGGGGTGAGTAGGATGCGCAACGTATTTAAGGACCGGGAGGAAAACGTGAAATTTACGGGAGATTATCACTCGGAAAATTTCCTGCAATTACATTACAGAGACTTTCCAGGCATCCTGGAGCATTTGCGGGAGACTCCCGAAACTTCCGGGAGACTTGGGATGTCTGGAAAGACCTCCCGCCCTACTTATAATTCTCTCTTTATATAGCCGTATGCCATATCCATAATACACTGTGATATAGCCGGGCTCGCACTGTATCGCTTTCTCACTACAATCGATCCGTTCCAGAGTTCGTTTCAATTGAGCCGAGACCACCTCATTCAGGCGATCTCGGACCGATTGTTTTGGTGCGGATCCGAGCGCGATTGCTGGTTTCACATATGCCAAACGAACTGCGCCAACTGGGCAAACGAGACGGGTTCCGAAACAAAAGTCTAGGTGTGAAAGCACCCTCAAAATGTATATCCTTACCAAAATCAAAACAGAGCGTTTCATTCTTAGGGTAATTCCATTCTTAGGGTAATTCTGAGCATATAAAACTGTTCTGGAGGCAAAACTTACCTAAGCCGCATACCTACTATGTAGATATCAGGGAACAATTGAGGTTATTAAATCAGTGGCACATTTAAACCAGTGTTTCCCAACCCTGTTCCTTTAGGCACGCCAACAGTACACATTTTCAACCTCTCCCTAATCAGACACACCTGGACCAACTCATCAGAACATTAGAGGAGACTCCAAAACCTGAAGTGAATGGGCCAGATTAGGAAGACCTCCCAAATATGTACTGTTGGTGTGCCTCCAGGAATAGGGTTGGGAAACATCTCCAGCCTCCTATTTGGCACTGAGATCCACTATTAGATGCTGATACGCCATGGTCTTCCCTTTAAAACTGGCCGCCAGCAGAATATCCTTATTGTCCACTGAGACCATGGCGAATCCTCGAGGTGCCAGCATGTTGAGCTCCTGGAAGGGCAGGAAGCGCTGGGTGAGCTCGTCCCACAGGTAAATCCTGGAGAAGGAATAATCGCTGCCCAGCAGGAGGTAAAGCCTCACTCCGACGCTGAAGGGATACACGGCCATTGAGCCCCTAGATGGCAGGGTTTGGATCTCCACAAAGCGTTGGTTGTCCCAGCGCAGGATCTTGGAGTCTCCGATGAAGCGTGTGAGGCACAAATACAGCACTTTCCGCACCCAGAAGTGCTTGACCATCTGAACGTCGCCCGAATCGGTGATCTGAGAGTGGAAAACGAACTGGCGCTGGCTGCGGTTCCACTGGTAAACCACCGGGGGCTGCGAGGCGCTGGAGAGGATGAGGCGAGGTTTGCCGTCCACCTCCAGGAAATCAATGTGAGTGTCTCTGTGCCAGGGATGGAGGGACTGGTGTGAGTAAAACCCGTTGCTGTTCCAGCGGTACAGGCTGGTGGAACCGGCTTTGGAGCTGTCGACTACTGCAAAATACCAGTCTCCTTCAATCTGGAAAGTCTCGATGAAGTTGGGTTTTCGGACTCGGGTGGTGTCGATGTCCTGGATTTTGACAAATCGCAATGGACCATCCTCCCATCTGACAACAACAAGGTGATTTCACAGTAGTTAGTGATGATATTGACACATAAATGTGTTACATCAAAATTAAATAGACAGTTGACCACAAATAAACAATAACTCACCATTTACCCTCTCATCAAACATTTTATGAGTTTCATTCTACTGTTAAACACAAAAGAAGATATTTTGGAAGAATGCTGCAAACCTGTAACCATTGACTTTCATAGTAGGACAAATACTATGGAAATCCAGGGTTACAGGTTTCCAGCATTCTTCCAAATATCTTCTTTGTCTTCAGTATAAGAAAGAAACTGTTTTTAAACAAGTAAGGTTGATATATACTTTCGCCTGGTGCCATGTCCAGACCTCCGCTGACTGCGCGAGCACCTCACAAAGCAGACGAGGCTTTTATTCTTGATGCGTTCGCCGTTCTTTAACGGTATTCTTTTTTTGATATTCTTTAAAACGTCAAAAGAAACCCGCCGTAAAGTCAAATGGGTAAACTGAAAGTAGGAAGTTTCTGGAACTACGTCACATCATTACTGTAAATTTTCTAAATTTTCTTTTTTTCTTAAACCCTACTATTTTTTATATATATATTTTATATTAATGTTAAGCACCTTGGGTCTGAGAGTAACGCAATTTCGATTCTCTGTATGTCTTGTACATGTGGCTGAATTGACAATAAAGCTGACTTTGACTTTGACTTTGACTTTTTATTATCGTTCAAGATTTTTCAACTGATTATTTTTATAAATTATTTAATTGATTATAAGGATTTTTATATCCATTCAAGATTTTTTAAAATCAAACGTTTAGCAGTAGAAATTATAAACAAGACTTCATCATGTGCGCGTCTTAATCTGATTCAGATGAAAATTCTTGAGCGTATTCACTACAGCAAAAACCAAACTGGCCAAAATCTACCCCAATATAGATGAAACATGCGATCGTAGCAACTCATGCAAGGCACACCTAACCCATATGTTCTGGTCATGTGACAAACTGAGACGATTTTGGTCTTCAATATTTGAGATTTTAAACTCAGCCTTCAATTTAAGACTTCAACCTAATCCGGTAATGGCTTTGTTTGGAGTCCCAAATGAAAACATGCATGTGGCCAAAGCAATAGAAAACGCCTTTGCCTTTGTAACATTAATAGCCAGAAGAAGAAATCTTATGGAGTGGAAATCACCAATGCCACCTAAACTGTCACTTTGACTTAGTGATGTAATGCTATTTTTGAAAACTGAAAAAAATTAAATATTTTTAGGTTAAAGTTTCAACCAAAACATTTTTCAAAATACATCGGACCCTCTAATAATCCATATTGAAACGAATGTACCCCTCCATCCATAAATTTCCAAACCCCCCCCCCATTATTCTTTTTTAATTTATTTATTTACTTTATTTTATTTTTATTATATATTTTTATTTTTATTATTAGTAATATTTTTTTTATTTAATCCATTTCCTTTTCATAATAATTTTTATTATGTTCATTTGTGTCTGTCTCAAATTAATGCATGGTTAAAAAAAAGAAAAGAAAATACCTTTGTCATTGAATACCTGTAATGTATTATACTTTTTGTCAAAAACACAATAAAAAATTTATAATAAATCAAACTTTGATGCATCACTTGCTTTAATTCATATCTCGGATAGTTCTACCTATTATTTATAAATAATAATGACAACAAAACATGTGATACTTTGCAAATATATTTTATATAGTCAAGAATAAAAGCCCTCCCAATAAAGCCTAGAAAAACAGGCATCAGTGTATTGTAAACCGATAAGTTCAAATATTCATTTCCAGTTATCAAAAAAATTATTTGTTCTTTAAGTATAGTTTTGTAACCTAAATTGTTTTAAATTCAAAATTGCAATATAAACAGTTGAAGTCAGAATTATTCGCCCCCGTTTTTTCTCAATTTTCTCAATTTCTGTTTAATGGAGAGATTTTTTCCGCACATTTCTAAACATACGTAGTAGTTTTAATAACTCATCTCTAATAACTGATTTATTTTATCTTTGCCATGATGACAGCACATAATGTTTTACTAGATATTCTTCAAGACACTTCTATACAGCTTAAACATTTAAAGACTTAACTAGGTTAATTAGGTTAACTAGACAGGTTAGGGGAACTAGGCAAGTTATTGTATAACGACGGTTTGTTCTGTAGACTATCGAAATAAAATAGCTTAAAGGGGCTAATAATATTGACCTTAAAATGGTCAAAAAAAAATTAAATCTGCTTTTATTCTAGCTGAAATAAAACAAATAAGATTTTCTCCAGAAGAAAAAATATTATCAGACATACTGTAAAAAAAAATCCTTGCTCTGTTAAACATCATTTGGGAAATATTTAAAAAAGAAAAAAAAATCCAATGGGGGGCTAATAATTCTGACTTTAACTCTGTGTGTGTGTGTGTGTGTGTGTGTATATATATATATATATATATATATATATATATATATATATATATATATATATATATATATATATATATATTTGAACATACTTGTAGATGTGGGATCCTCCAAAGAGCTGCGCCACAACCATGTAGAGAGTGTTGTTGATAACCACAGGTTTACAGTAGACAGCAGAACGAGCTGAAACACACACACACGTTAGCATTTAGCATCTACATTTTGACTGAACGTGGAATGGAAATGAGTCTTGATGGACTTTCATTACTGATCCTTCATGCTGTTGTTGTTCCTGTGAAAGCTAATACTCCACAGCAGTGGTTTCCAACATCTACAATGTTCCCAGCTTTCCCAGCTAACGATTTAAATTCTATAAACATTTTCTTAATGTAAATTATATAACGTTTTTGTTTAATAAATGTTCTAAAAAAACTCCTTGTATTTTAAAGACTATGTATTTTTTTTAAATTATAATAACATTTAAAAAATTTGAATACATTATTTAAAATGTTTTCATAACGTTTCACTCATGTTAGAATAATGTTCTCAGAACGTTATTTAAAACTTAATTATAACAGTCCATTCACATTATATTAATGTTCCAAGAACATTTTTCGATCAACATTACAAGAATGTTCTCAAAACATTATTTTAAATGTTGCGTGGTAACAACTACACAACTTTTAATCAACATTGCAGAAGTATTTGAGATCGTTCGAGAAGTAAATATATATATATATAAAAAAAAAAAAAAAATAATATTTATATACATACATACATACATATATATATATATATATATATAAATATATATATATATATATATATATATATATATATATATATATATTATATATGTAATATATATATAATATTTATATATATATTTAAATTGTCTATTTTTATGTATAAAGACAACATAAAAAAAAGGTTGTGTGTATCCTAATTAAGCAAACTGCAACTTTAAGTATTGTATTTAACTGCCAATTGACAGTGGATGTGTGAACAGAATTTGTATTAAAATGTGTTTTGTTGACAAGTTGAGGAACCGCTGCTGTAGAGAACACATCTATAATATTATGAACGATATACAAGGCAATATTAATGAACAGAAGCACTTACACGTGATGTTGTAATGTGTCTTGAAAAGCATGTTGACGTGATCCCAAATGAAGACGGTGCAGATTCCAGTGTTGGGCTGAGCGAAAACCACATACTGGTCATCTTGAAACTCGTACGACTCCACGGACAGAGACTGGAACGAGTAGGTCTCGTAAACTGCGAAATCTGCACGACAAGAGTGAGTCACAGGCAGAGACAATGTCACTTTGATAAACTTCATTCATTCATTTTCCTTCAGCTTAGTCTCTGATTTATCAGGGGTCGCCACAGCGGAATGAACCGCCAACTATTCCAGCATATGTTTTGCGCAGCGGATTGCTTTTCAGCCACAACCCAGTACTGAGAAACACCTATTACCTAGAGTAAGGCCCTGTTTACACTAGTGCGTTTTAGTTTTAAAACGGCGTTGTAGAATGAAAACGATCCGCATTTCACCCGGCGTTTCTGAACAGCTCTCCGTCCACACCAAAACACTTAAAATACACATCACGTGACCACACACACACACACTCTTGGGCAAGCACTGCAGCATTTCTACCATGATGAGAGCTGTGCTGGTCGGACTGCTCATCAAGCATCTGCCGCTGGATCTAATCTCACTATATTTGCTAAATGTGATATTTAATTAATCTTGTTGTCTATATCTAACAACTTCAGATTCCCCGACTTTGGTCTTTTGAATCGATTACTTGTTCACAGGTAACGTGTTTTGGCTGAGCGCAAAGATAAGTTAATGATTAATGTAGCCACGTACATTCTGTATATTGACTGATCGCTTGCCTTTATTTGCCATAATGTATAGACTTATTGTGCGTTATACTTTCATAATGGCTATTATTGATTATTAAAACAGACATTCAGCAAAGCAGAAGATACGTTTCGTATTTTCAATGAAAATGAAAGGAGGCAGTGATGTTATATAGGCTCTGTTTTATTATGAATATGCCATACAGTGAAGATGCAGCACGACGCCTCCGCATTTCTGCTGTCTGTTAAGTTGTTAATATCAAAATGAAAATAGGCAGTTCCTTAAATCATGTTTTCATTTCATTGTTGAGAAAGTGAAACAACGTAGCCAGGATGATGAGAATAATGTTATAAAGTACACTGTTCCCTTTGAAGATTTACCGGACATGTCCTCGAGGGTCTGTTTTCCATATCAAACTTGCGAAGTCTGAACTTACAGGGAGAGGATGCGAGACTGAACTGTGCGTAACGTTAAGCTACTTAATATTGAGGAAAAGCCCCGCCTCCGTTTTCAGATGTCTCCGTTTTCCCCCATCCACACTGACATGAAGCAGCTGCGTTTTAGAACGAAAACGGCCTCTCCAGCGTTTTCAAAACGCTCCGTTTTCGGCGCTCGAAACTCCGGCGTAGTGTGGACGGATGGCGTAACCGTAGCAAAACTTATGCATTTTAAAACGAAAACGCATTAGTGTAAACAGGGCCTAAATCAAGAGCACCGGGTTGATGCTTGTGTTAAACCTGCTTGCCGATTTGTCCATCAATACAGAGCTGTTACCAACGTCAGTGTTGCTGAGTGGGGATCAGGATGACGGGGATCCTAAAGATTCAAATCTTTAAGGTCCTCTACGAAATTCGGAAGTTTTAAGCACTTTTTAAAGACTAGCTGTGTCTACTACTCAGTAGGTACTGCATTTAAATTTAAACATACTACTCAGCTGTTAGAAAAGTGCGTTCCTTACAGTATGAATGTGAAAAGTATGAATGGAATTCGGATGTACTACTTCTGGCATTTTGTCATGGTCACGTGAGCTACCTGCGTCAATTGTGTCGCATCACTCCCATTCATGAATTCGCTCGCGGGGCATCATGGGATAGCGCAGCATGCATGAGATGCGCACTCCAGAATCTTACTGGAAGTAGTAAGTCATCCACGTACTTCTCACATACTTATTTTCGAATTCTATGAATTCAGACATACTACTCGGCTCACATACTGATTAAAGCGTACTATATAGTATGGAAGTTTGCGGTTTCAGACACAGCCTACGGTCTTTCTTTTAGGGGGTGTGTGTGATGAGTTTCTTAGTCCCACCCACTGGTCGGCCGAAGTGGGAAGGACAGAGACTCATCTACGGAATTGGGAACACCTGGTTTCCCCCTCTATAAAACACCAGCAGTGTTGGCTAGTGGAGAGCCATGCTTTTGCTCCTCTTTATTTTGTTTTGTTTCTTTCTAGCTGTGGTGAATGTTTGATTTTTGCTAGCCTCAGTTGAGCACCGGTTTATTTATTAATGTTTAAACAAATATTTTACTGCACCAAACCATCCTCTGTATGTCCTCCCTTTAATTTGTCATGGCCTTTGAGCCATGTCGTGACAAATATGGGGGCTCATCCAGAATTTGAACCCAGGACCTCTCGCATTCACACACACACACACACACTCATACACTACGGCCAATTGAGCTATTTTAGCAACATAGTGTTTGGACTGTGGGGGAAACCAGAACACCCGGAGGACACCCAACATGGGGAGAACATGCAAACTCCACACAGAAATGCCAACTGGCCTAGCCGTGACTTCTTGCTGTGAGGTGACAGTGCTTACCACTGAGCCTCCGTGCCACCCAGTATGAGATTTTCCAGACTAAGGGTGCTTTCACACCTGTGAATCGATTCAGTTGTTCTGAAACAGAGATTAAAATTGTTACATTGTTGCTCTTTGCTCTTGGAGCGGTTCGCTTTCACACTGCAAAGTTTCTAATCGGATCAAAAGAGCTAAAACAAGTCACGTGTGAGTAAACTCTCCTCACATTGGTCAGGGTGTCAGGGTTTATTTTGCAGCGTCCCGCTCAGCTGTCAGGAGAGGTGGTGGTTTGGTGGTGATTGACAGGGTGCGCGCGCCATGTGTCTGAGGAGAGACGCGGTGGGGAGGGGTGAGAAGGGTGCGCGACGATGCCTATTTGAGGACCGGGAGGGAGATGCGAGATTACCGGGAGATCATCACTTGATTGCGGGCATCCGGAGACTCGCGAAACTTCCCGCCATACTCATAAATCTCTCCTCATATAGCCGTAAGCCTATTACATATCCATAAAACACTGTGATATAACCGCGCTCGGATCGCTTTCTCATTGCATTCGAACCGCCCCAGGGTTCCTTTCAATCGAGTCGAGACCACCTCATTCAAGCGATCTCGGAGCGATTACTTTGGCGCGGAACAGAGCGCGATTGCCCTGTTCACATATGCCAAACGAACCGCGCTAACTGGGCAAATGAGACACGTTCCGAAACAAAAGTGTAGGTGTGAAAGCACCCTGAAATTCTGTCTCAGTCAAACCTTTCACTCAGAGGTGTTTCTTATTTTCAACTAAATGCGTTATATGTGTTGTTTTTCAATTCTTCATGTAATAAATGTATTGTTCATTGTTCATGTTAGTAAATGCATTTACTAACATTAACTAATACAGTGTTTCTCAACCACGTTCCTGGGGGACCACCAGCACTGCACATTTTCCCTGTCTCCTTAACAAAACACAGCTGATCATCAGCTTATCAGCAGAGACTGAAAGACCTGTAATAGGTGTGACAAACCAAAACATGCAGTGCGGGGGGTCCTCGGGAGGTACGTGGTTGAGAAACACTGAACCGATACAACCTTCTTGTAAAGTGTTACCGTTGAAATGTTGCATGTGTAGACGTGAATCTGGAAAAAAACATTGTTGTGAGTGGTGTGACCTGCGCTGATGCAGTTGAAGTCTCGCGGTGTGAGCTCATGGATGCGTCGGCCCTGGAACTCAAACGGACTGGCGCAGTAAATGGGCGGAACAGACGTGTTGGTTTTCTCCATCCAGTCAACCAGCCATTTGATCTTGCAGTCACAACGAAACGAGTTCCCGCGCAGGTCTCTGCAAAGAGCAAACCGACAGATAACAAAACCCACAACGTAATAGGAGTGAACTCAAATCAACTGACCTGAATTCACCCAAATTCAAAACACATCCAGTTGAAGACAGAGCTATTAACCACCCTGTATATGTTTCCCTAATTTCTTTTTGATAGTTTAGTGATATTGTTGACAGTGTAATGCTTACTATCTTTTACACACAGTATAAATAGAGATGGAATTATCTCCAGTCGCTCACAGGGCATTTGTTATGTGTATCTATGGTACATACAGGTCTGTAAGGATGTCTAGGTGCTTGAAGAGCTCCCTGGGAAGAACCTGCAGGTTGTTATTGGACAGGGACCTGACATGGAGAAAAGAAAATCAGAGAGAAACATAATATGCGTGTGCAAATGATCAAAACTCTTGGGGCTTCCATGATCACCCCTGTTCCACAACTGCAATTGTACTGAACTTATTATTAATACTTGTTTACCATGCAAAGTTATTCCATCATTTTTTTGTATATTGTTAAACCTACTGTTTAAAGTCCTCCTAAATCATTTGTTATTGTGTATTCTCAGACACCCTGAAGCTGTAATGCTACTATTGTCCACTAGAGAGCCTCAACAATTCATTCATTCATTCATTTTCTTCAAAGCAGGGATGAGAACAGACATTTAGCGGGACAGGGGCACACAAGCAAACACTCCACTTCTTACATTAATTTATTTCTAAAGAGAAAATACAATAAAATAAAGGGATAGTTAAGTCAAAATCAACATTTATTAACTATTTACTCTCTCTTTACAAACCTTATGAGCTTCTTTTTCTGTCCAACCCAAAAGAAGATATTTTGAAGCATGCTGGAATTTGGTAGACACTGACATCCATAGATGTTAATAAAATTAATCAATGGAAATCGATGGGTTACAGTAGCCAACAGCCTATAATCACTTCCTGACAAAAGTCTTGTCGTCAATCTCAGTTGTAAGAATAATAAATAATAACTTGACTTCTAGTAGATCGTTTGGAAAAGTGTCAGAAGGTCTTTTTTTTTTTAAATGAATCATCTGTTGAGCTGCATCCCAATCATCACAAATACTGCAGAAGACCTACTGGAACCCTGATGGAGCAGAGATTCTCACAAAAATCAGTCAAGTTTGGTGAAGGAAAAATCAAGGTTCGGGGTAACATTCAGTATGGGGGCGTGCGAGAGATCTGCAGAGTGGATGGCGACATCAACAGCCTGAGCTATCAAGACATTTGTGCTGTCCATTACATGACAAACCACAGGAGAGGGACAATTCTCCAGCAGGATAGCGCTCCTCATACTTCAGCCTCCACATCAAAGCCTCTAAAAGCAAAGAAGGTCAAGGTGCTCCAGGATTGGCCAGCCCAGTCACCAGACATGAACATTATTGAGCATGTCTGGGGTAAGATGAAGGAGGCATTAAAGATGAATTCAAAGGATCTTGATGAACTCTGGGAGTCCTGCAAGAACTCTTTCTTTGCCATTCCAGATGACTTTATTAATCAGTGATTTGAGTCATGTCAGAGATGTATGGATGCAGTCCTCCAAGCTCATGATGGAGTCAGACACAATATTCATTCTGTCTCCACTGCAGCAGGACTTTATATTCTATACTGGACATTATTTCTGTTCAGTGATGAGACTTTTGTCTAAGCAAAGTCAGAGCTTACTGTCCTAATGAAATCATTCAAAATCAAGGCATGATCATATTTTATTGTGGTCAAATAAGTGTAATCTAGAGGCCTTTACCTTTCATGTTAGCCACTTCTGATACCAAATGATCAACAAGAAGTCCAGTTATTCTTTGTTGATCCTAAAACTTAGGCAACAAGACTTTTGTCAGATAGTGTAATGTTCTACAACCTGAATCTTCTAGGGCCCTATCATATACCCGGCGCAATGTGGCGCAAGGCTTTTTTATTTGCTAGTTTCAGCTTGGCGCAAGAGTCGTTTGGATGTTTTGCGCCATGCTGATTAAATAGCAAAAGCATTTGCGCTCATAGGTGCGCCCACAGGCGTTCTGGTCTAAAAAAGGAGGCGTGTTGAGGCGCATTGCTGGCGCGGGGCTATTTTGAGAAACTATAATAGATTTTTCAATAGACCAGAACAAAGCCTGTCTATTGTCCAGCGTTAGTTGCGTTAGTTGTGCGCCTCGCTTACACACTGCTTAATACACACAAGATGTAGAGCAATACGCAAATATCTTTACATATGAGAAAGAATTAAAATATTAAGGATATATATAGGATATAATAAGGATATATATAGGATATAAATATAAAGGATTAAAATATTACAAAACATATTATTTTCTAGCCTACATAATATAAAAACCAAACTTACATGCCTTCTTCATCTCGGAGGGCTTTTTCAGTTTATTCGTGACAATTTGCTTTCGTATAATGTTATTATTATTAGCAGTATTATTTATTATATCCATATTTATATTTGTTTTATTAAAAACAAGCTTAGATTTGTCCATCTGTCAGGTTTCAGACCATATGGGGCACAGCATGTGTTTTAGAATATAACTCAGGTTTTTGACCACACTTCATTATTATTGTTCATTTATTCGTTTGCTGGAAATTAGAAATAGTTTTAAAACCAATTTTTGCGCTTAACAAACTAAATTAATTATTTATAGGCTAATGGATGTCTGTGCGTACAAGGTTTCCCTATCCACGAGAGCGAAAGTGATTATGAGGATATTATCAAAACCCTCGTTAGCTAACTAAGGTTCCAAGTTGCGTCGTTACAAACTTAGTTTGTTGATTTGGCGTTTGATGAACAATCGTAAACTGTGTCAAACTTGTACGCCTGCAACTACACCTCTCGAGCTGTAGTTAGAAGCATAGTTACAGTTATCCCCCTATGCCCTATTCATTCAAATGTTCCAACATTTAAACTTGGAATGATTTAAAAAAAGCATTCAAGTCATCTTTCCTAAGTGTATTTTGCATTCCAAGTATTTTTTTTACAGTACAGTTTTAGCGATCTTCATATTCACAATTGCGCTCCCTTTGCAGTGCACTTTGAAAACATTCATGCCATTTTGAACGCAATGGCATAAATGAGATAAATGAGATAATGAAAATAAAATGGCATAGACTCCTAGCACCACTGGGGGTGGGGGGTTGGGGTGGGATATCGGGGGGTCAGAAAGTGAATTTACTTATTGTTCTATTGTAAATGATATCTGGAGGATTTTGTTTGGCCTCTCATGTGGAAAATGAATGCACAGACTGATAATCCTGCCTAAGAATAAGAAATACGTACAGGTGTGTCAGTGACTTGAGTCCTCTGAATGTGTGCTTTGACAGCGCCTGGATGTCGTTGTTCTCGATAAATCTGTGAGGAAGCAGAGCGAGAAAAGAACATGGGAGTTAAATTAACCATTTAAAGCATGTAAATGAATTCAACCAACAACTCATTAGTCAGACAGCCACAAAATGAAACACTTCCAGACAAAGATTTAGGAGATTTGTGCCATTTAAGATGAAAAGATGAACAGATTGGGCCAGGGATATCAATCAAACGGCATTTTCTCTATGTACTGTAATAAACTGTGAGAATGTGAAGGGACGCAGGCGGTTCCCTGATGGATTCTTGAGTCTCAGTGTTCAGGAAAATGAAGCCTGGCGCATTGGCCGCGTTAAAGCTCTTAGCTTAATGAGGTTGTGGGCGTTTTCATTAATGCTAAAAGCTTTCTGCAAATTGCAAGGCCTTCCCCTCGCTCTCTTTTATCTCATTCACTCTCTTTCTGCAGTCGACGAGCTGCCAGCGCTTTCGTCTGGAAGACAACGCTCGCTGAATCTTAAGGAGGAGCCACAGAAAACACACAACCTGCATGATGATCAGAGACTGATTCAGTCAAGTCTATTCGATATCTATATATATATATATATATATATATAATATAATATTGGCTGCAGTGTGCAGTGTTTCGAAACACTTGCGCTTCGGGATCTCGACACTGTTGAAATGTCAGTTTCACGTGTCAGCCATCCCTATTTTGACTTTGACTCTATATTACCCTCATACATCTGTTTGCTCCACTATTGACCACTGCTTGCCTGACGATTCTAATAAACCTGCACGTGGATCCACACCTCTGTTGTCAGAGTCACTCCCCCTGGTTACAGGCCCACACGGAATCTGCACGCTCAGAAATCCACAGATTTTTAGTCTATTTATTTACTTATGTAAATGTGTGTACATTTATCAGGGTTCAACGCTAAGGATTTTTTCTACTGGTCCAATCAGGCTAGTGGTTTAGATTTTTCCTTGCCCTGCCAAAATTTTCACTGCCCCCACCAAAAAAAAAGGGAAGTTAATAGCTATTTTTAAACGACATATTTTAAATAATGTGTCAAAAATAAAGTCTGTAAATCTAGAATTTCAATACTTAAAAAACGATTGTAAATATAAGTGTTATGCAAACAAAAAGAGCAGTATGGAAAATGTGGAGGCATTTTATTGCAGTTAAAAATTATTTAACAAAAGGTGGCTGACTTGTCAAAATGACGGCAAACTATGCATAACATCACTTTATTTATATTTTGTGTTGTTGTTTCTACGTAAATGTCTACTTCCAACACGTTAGAGACAGACATTTTCGTTTAGCCTTTTAATTTGATGTTGCCGCCATGTTGCTGTTTCTACGCTGTACTGGTTGTTACCAGGTTACAAAAAAAAATAGCATGGTCAAATCAATCAGATAAGACGAATCGGAAAGCAATATGTTGTTTACGACATTACAGAGAAGGTAGCATTTAAAGATTTAAAAGCACAAACTTAAAATGCACGCAATTGACAAATAGTCACAGACAAATTAAATGTTAGTGACAAGGCAGCACTGTCCCAATCGGGCCAGTAATGATCCGGTCTACTGTCACAAGTGTCTCTCACGCTGGCCCTGGGCCACCGGGCAGTCCTTATTGTTGAGCCCTGTTTATATTTATTAAGTTTTTAATTAAGAGTGTTGTGAAATAATAATATTGTCATAAAAATGTTTATATGATTTATTTACAATACAGTTTGTAAAGTAATCTTTTCTGTCTTTTAGTAGATCTGTTATGAGATGTGCTATGTTTACCAAATAAGTGGATCTAATTGGATTTACATTGTAAACATTAAATAAAAGTAAAAAAAAAAAAAATAAAAAAAATAAAAATATATATATATATATATATATATATATATATATATATATATATATATATATATATATATATATATATATATATATATATATATATATATATATATATATATATATATATATATATATATTTAATATATTAAGTTTTTAGTTATGATGCTCCTAAAATCATTCCACATAAATCCACAGATTTTTTACAAAATTTTCCGCAAAAATCTCTGCAGATTCTGTCTGGCCCTAGAAAAGATTGCTTTTCTGTGTCACGTGTTGTTAGAACACAGCCATTGTAGCCAATCAGGGGTTCCGTTCTTCGTACCTCGCTTAAATGATCTAAGATGATTTGGCAGATGCTGGATCTGTTCATCTTGATAACTGATCTCTCGCTTATTTGGTTCTTCAAACGAGTTCGCGAATCAGATTAGAATGTCTGGATGAACTGATCTGAGATCGCTGCGTGTGTTGTGAACGACAGATCTATCCATCCTCGAAATCATGATCAGCAATGCAACGATTGGCTGACGGCGCATCAACGTAATGACACCATCTGATTAATATTCAATTATCCATGTGAGCTAAATTACATCAAATTAGCATAAGGTTTGTTAAATATGACACGCAATAACCTTCCACATTTGTTGTGAGCTGCAGGCTTTACACTGTCATCTGTCAAGAGTATTCATCATGTATTTCAGTGCATATCAGTGTATTTAGTTCTACATTTAGAAAAGATTTTCTTTATTATAGTAGCCGTTTTTTTAATCGGTGTAAAGAATCACTGAATGTTTACAAAAGCATTTTGATATTGGTAAAGGCGTCTGCAACTTTTGTGAAGCATCCAATCACCGGCATATTAACTGTCAACACATGTTTATGACTGCATATTATTGCTGTTAAAAACAGTCACATATTGTGCATTTCTATTATACACAAATTGTTCTAAAGCGATCTAAAAAGTTCATTCCAATAAGTTTTCTCTTTGCACCACCAGGTGGCAATCTTTGTACTTTCATTTCAGGGGTGCAGATTGCATAAGTTTTATTAATATGTATAACTTTATTTATTTTGTTAATAACTATAACTTTATATAAATAGTTAAAAATAGTTACTATTTTCCCAAGTGTATATAACTACTACTGTAAGAAAATATCAGCATTTGGTACATACTTTCAGTATTTTCTTTGCATGAACTGAGCCGATCTAATCCTGTTTACATGAATTGAACCTGCTGCCGAGCAAGTTTGATCTACCAGAACTGTTGCTAAGACAACAACTCTCGGATCAGCTTTGAAGAACGAAACGGTCCTGGGGTCCGTTCTTCGTACCTCGCTTAAATGATCTAAGATTATTTGGCAGATCCCGGATCTTTTAATCTTGATAACTGATCTCTCGCTAATTTGGTTCTTCAAACGACTTCGCGAATTAGATTAGAATGTCTGGATGAACTGATCTGAGATCGCTGCGTGTGTTGTGAAGGACAGATCTATCGATCCTCGAAATCATGATCAGCAATGCAACGATTGGCTGACGGCACAGCAGCGTAATGACATCATCTGATTAATATTCAATTATCCATGTGAGCAAAATTACATCAAATTAGCATACGGTTTGTTAAATATGACACGCAGTAACCTTCCACATTTGTTGTGAGCTGCAGGCTTTACACTTTCATGTGTCAAGTGTATTCATCATGTATTTCAATGCAAATCAATGTATTTAGTTCTACATTTAGAAAATATTTTCTTTATTATAGTAGCTGTTTTTTAATCGGTGAAAAGAATAACTGGTTGTTTAAAAAAAGCGTTTTCATATTGGCAAAGGCGTCTGCAACTTTTGTGAAGCATCAAATCACCGGCATATTAACTATCAACACATGTTCATGACTGCATAAATGTATTACTGCTTTAGAAAAAAACAGTCACATATTGTGCATTTCTATTATACACAGTTTGTACTAAAGCGATCTAAAAAGTTCATATCAATAAGTTTTCTCTTTGCACCACCAGGTGGCAGTCTTTGTACTTTCATTTCGAGGGTGCAGATTGCATACGTTTTATTAATATGTACAACTTAATTTATTTTATTAATGACTATAACTTTATATATATATATATATAGTTTAAAAATATGTACCATTTTCCCAAGTGTGTATAACTACTACTGTAAGAAAATATCAGAATTCGGAACATACTTTTTGTATTATCTTTGCTTGAACTAAGCCGATCTAATCCTGTTTATATGAATTGAACCTGCTCCTGATCAGGTTTGACCTAGCAGAACTGTTGCTATGACAACAACTCTCGGATCAGCTTTGAAGAACGATATCAATATCCAAATCCAGCTAATTGAGTAATCCACGTACGAAGAACGGACCCCAGAAGTCTGAAAAAATAATTAGAGGTTTTCAAAAACATTCATTTTGAGTCAGCTGATACTGCGTTTGCTTGTGGACAAACAGCCAAACTGCGCAGAAAAGGCTACGGTTTTTAAAAAGCACATGTGTGTTGACAGGGCCTTAGCGTAACTCAATAAATCTCCCTTAATATGCAGCAGAAGACATTCTAAGACAAATAATACGTCCATCTGTTGGACAGATCATCAATTCACCGACCCACTCATCTGTCTTTCAGGTCAGCCATCGATTAGAGCAGTGGTTCTCAAACTTTTTTCATCAAATACCACCTTAGAAAAAATTTGTCTCTCCAAGTACCACCAAAACGAGTAGTATTGAAATACAGTAGCGTAGTAGGCCCAGTAAAGCAGCTACAACTGCACAGTTAGAAAGATCATGGCAGATTACCTCAGAAATATAGGCTATATGTCATATATGGCATATTATATACATCATTTTTGGTAAACTTGGAAATGTGTGAAGCATGTAAAAGACATATTTCATTCCTCCGCGTACCACTAGAAGGAAGCCTGCGTACCACTAGTGGTACACGTACCACAGTTTGAGAAACACTGGATTAGACCATCTCTCTCTCTCTCCATTCATTCCTCCATCCAGAAAATGTACTTACAAATACTGCAGGTGTCCAAGACCAGAAAAGGCATCATCAGAGATCACAGAGAAAGTGTTTGAGTTCAACAGCCTGTGGAGAATGAAAAGGGAGATAATACAGTTGCAGAATCAGTGTTTAGCCCTCCTGAATTATTAGCCCCCTGTATATTTTTCCTCCAATTTCTGTTTAATGGGAAGACTTTCCCAACACGTTTCTAATCATAATAGTTTAGGTAACTCATTCATTGCTAATAACTAGGGATGTAACGGTATCAGAATTTCACGGTACTATAATACCTCGGTATGAATGGCACGGTACGGTATTTATTGAATAATTTACAGGAAAAACAAAACTAATGAAAAGACTCGAAAAAGTGTCAAAAGTGTTTATTTACCTTAGCACTGAACATATCAATGACATACAAATTAGCCATCTATCTGTAAGTTTCGAAACAGGAACTTCAATTTTTAAATTTTAATAACAAACTGAAGTTTCTCAAACTAATTTCGAGAGGAGCACGTGGTAGGATTGACTACAGCTGATCCCTATCCTAATCACTAGCTAGCCAATCGGATCACTCTAAATTCAATATAAATATCCAGCCTAAACTTCAATCTTTATCTTCGTTTTGGAAACCCCCCCCATCCATCCCTTCTCCCTCCTCCTCAGTTTGGGCGACACGGTGGCTCGGTGGCTAGCATTGTTGCCCCACAACAAGGAGGTCATTGGTTCAACACTAGCTGAGCCAACCGAAACTCTCTGTGCGGAGTTTGCATGTTCTCCCCGTGTTCGTGTGGGTTTTCCCCGGGTACTCCGGTTTCCTCCCACACTCAAAAACTATGCAACAAAAGTTAAAGTCACAAGCACTTACAACAAACTAGCACAACTAGTGATCTATTTTGGGAAGCTATCGAGAACTACCTGATCTCATATCCCTCCAAATGCTTATTGACCAGGCGGGAGCCTTGGGCTCATCAATCACTGAGCTCAGGGTTCTCTCCCGGGACAGCATGCCAAACTAGCTTAAATAGTCAAGCATTATCTAAGTGTGAACTCTTGAAAAACTATTAAACCATAAAAAAAATTAAGTTTCAATTTAGTATTGTTGAAAACTCATCACATTCAACATTTAATCACTCACTCACTTAGATAGAGATGGGTTTTTTAAGGAAAATTATCATATACAGTAACTAAAATCTGGTAAAAGCTGGGATCTCTGGGCATGTCCCCTGCAACAGAAAAAACCCTCTCATTTGGGACTGAGGTTTCTGGGACAGAGAGATATGATTTAGCCAAGGTTGACAGCAGTGGGTAACGTTGTGCATTGTCTTTCCACCACTTGAGAGGACAAGCCATGAGTGAGATAGAGGTCTCTTTGCGGTACAAGTCAATGTCTGCATCAATCTAACAAGTGTGCTGTGTTCTGCAGTCCCCATGACTGTTTTTAGTCGTATTCCCCCACTTATATTTCACCACAGTCTGGCAGTGCCTGCATACTGTTTTTTTCTTTGTCTGTCACCTGTCAACTTTTTCGTATCCTTTTAAAAAGAAACCGAAATGCTTCCACACATCCGATTTAAAACACGCTTTAGGTTCGATCATTTCCAGCTCTTTTTCTTTCTCGCTACTAGCAACACACTCCATTTCCGCATTACTGGATCTGTAGTGACAACAGACCGCAAAGGATGATGGCCACGCCTAGGCTGATAGGAATTGTAGTTCCCGCTACCACCCGTTCACTTCATTCGACTAAGCAAACTTTACTCAGAAATAAAGTTTTATTGAGTCATGCGCCTACGGTAATATTGAAAAAAATTACTATTGCGGTATGACGGTATTTACAATATTGTTACAGCCCTACTAATAACTTGTTGATTTTATCTTTGCCATGATGACAGCACAGTTCATTGATTGGTGTGATAGAAATAAGCTAAAAATAAATACTAACAAAACAGAAGAGATGGTATTTGACCCAAAGTGCATAGGTGACCATCGTCAAGTGGTTGTACATGATGATCCTATTACTCAGTCAGATACCTATAAGTACTTGGGCATTCATATCGACAGTTCTTTCACATGGAAAACACACATTGATTGGGTTTGTTCTCGTTTACACCAGAGATTGTATTTTTTACGGAGGTTGCGTCTTTTTGGAGTCAACAAGAAGCTCATGATGCTGTTTTATAAAGCAGTTCTTGAAAGCATTGTCAGGTATGGCATTACAGTGTGGTTTGGCAACCTATCTGTTCAGTGTAAATCTAAACTGATGCATCTCTTAAAGACAGCATGGAAAATTGTCAGGCACAACGAATATTTTAATCCTCAAGTTTTATATGAGAACTGTGTCCTCAATCAGGTGGATAGGATTGTAAAGGATCCAACTCATTTTTTTTTTCCCCAGTACAAACTGTTTCCCTCTGGTAGAAGATATAGAGTCCCAAAGTGTAGGTTAAACCGTTATAAGAAATCCTTTGTACCCGTGTCAGTGGGTTTACTTAATAAGAGCATATCTTAATTGGCACCATAAATTTTGTAATTGTTGTATTTTCTACTGTTTTTTATTGCTTGTTTTAGTGAGTGTCTGCAGCAATATGGCGATGCCCAAAACAAATCTCCTGTCAAGGACAATAAAGTTTTACTACTACTACTACTAATATTTAACTAGATATTTTTCAAGACACTAGTATTCAGCTTAAAGTGGTTTGTTCTCTAGACAATTAAAAAACTATTGCTTAAGGAGACTAATATATTTACCCTAAAAATGCGTTTAAAAATGTTAGATCTGCTTTCATTCCAGCCAAATTAAAACAAGTAAGTCTTTATCTAAAATAAATGATTGGAAATACTGTAAAACTGAAATACTGTGGAATAAAAACGACACAGGAGGCTAATAATTCTGACTTCAACAATATACATGTATATGTTCATATATGGCCATATTGAACATTTCAGTATGAGTTTAAAAGCAGCATTGCTTTGCTTTGAAAGATCACCTTGTAAATCCAATATGACTGCCTTTGAAATTTATGAAGCCACAATTAATCCTGTGGCTGAAAGCACATCTTGCCTTTTGGTCTCGAATATCAGATCGCAGCGCAGAGCTTCACGGCATCTGACTGCTATATGCTAATCATAACAGCACGGAACGGAGCGTGACGTACTGATTTTTGTGCTGACAGCAGATTTGTGTCTATGCACACAGACAACACTGCATTTACATATTCAGATATAGGTTGTAGGGCAGGGGTGCTCAGTCCTGTTCCTGGAGATCTACCCTCCTGCAGATTTCAGTTGCCACCCATATCAAACACACCTGAACCAATTAATTAGGACCTGAACACCACGTGATAATTACAGGCAGGTGTGTTTGATATGGGTAGCAACTGAAATCTGCAGGAAGGTGGCTCTCCAGGAACAGGATTGAGCACCCCTGTTGTAGGGTGTCAGTAAATGCATTATAAAACCCAGGCTCATTCTGAAAACGTACCCCTATATACATTTCTGGAGAACTTTGTCCCAGGAGCTACGTTTTTTGCAGTTTTTGTTTTTACAAATCCACCAGAGTTGGATGTGTACGCTTTTTGAGATGTCAAATTTCTCTCACAAGTGCCATTCGCGTCTGCTGTCTCACATAAATCCACCAGAGGCCACTGTCGACTGACTGACTGCCCCACCCTCCTTCTTCCCTAAACCCAACCAATAATGTTTTCAAAAGCACCGATTGACCCGCATCTCACTCTGTCATTTACTTGTTTATTTTATTTTTTTGGGTTCTGTTTTTGTCTGACCCGCTTTCTGGAACAGTTCTTCACCGGATCTGAACCCCGTCATTGTGCATCTCAAGTCTATCGATGTCCACCGAACTGGACAAACTGGTAACAGCACAAAAGCTGTTCATACAGAGGTAAGCGGTAAGCTAGTAGCGCAAAAAGGAACGGCATCATCCCACCTCATAGCAATCATTTTAAAGACGAAATGCAGCCATACATACGTCTGGCTACATAAATCACGATCTCCAGAATCGTATATAATAATAATAATAATAATAATAATAATTCCTTACATTTATATAGCGCTTTTCTGGGCACTCAAAGCGCTTTACACAGTGGGGGGAATCTCCTCATCTACCACCAGTGTGCAGCATCTACCTGGATGACGCGACGGCAGCCATTTTGCGCCAGACCGCACACCACACACCAGCTGATTGGTGGAGAGGAGACAGTGATGCAGCCAATTGAATATGGGGATGGTTAGGAGGCCATGATGGACAAAGGCCAGTGGGCAGATTTGGCCAGGATGCCAGGGTTAAACCCCTACTCTTTTCGAAGGACATCCTGGGATTTTTAACGACCACAGAGAGTCAGGACCTCGGTTTAACGTCTCATCCGAAAGACGGCGCTCACTGAGCAGTATAGTGTCCCCGTCACTATACTGGGGCATTAGGACCCACACAGACCGCAGGTTGGGCACCCCCTGCTGGCCTCACAAACACCACTTCCGGCAGCAACCTAGCTTTCCCATGTGGTCTCCCATCCAGGTACTGACCGGGCGCAGCCCTGCTTAGCTTCAGTGGGCAACCATGTGAGAGTTGTAGAGAGCTAGCTGCCGGCCATATAGGGCTACGTTTTCAGAATGAGCCTATGTTGGCATTTTAATATATTACTCTTGTGATGAATATGTAAGAAGAAGTCTTAGACCCTTTAGCGAATATATAGTTTGTCATTAGATTAGGATTGAATTGCAAAAAAAAGTGATGTAAACTTAATGTGACATGTCTGATTCCATTTGTTTACTGATTCGGTGTCATGCTGTCATGTGAAAACAAACTTCTCTGTTGTGTCTTTCTGGCAGGCAGGAGGAGGACAGAAAAGCTGTTGTTGTTGTTGTTGTTATGTGTGTGGGCAGTCTGTAAATGGAGGGTCTGTCACTGATACACATCACACTACAGCTCAGACACACACACACACACACACACACACACACACACACACACACACACACACACACACACACACACACACACACAGACAGACAGTTCTCTTGGCTTTTCGCACATTTTCCAACACGCAGGCCATAATAAGAGAATGCGGAGGAGGATTATTGTGCTCATCTAGTACTTACAGGAACTGCAGCAGGTGCATGTGGGAAAAAGCTCCTTCGGGAATCTCTGTGAAGGCGGCGTTCACCATAGTCCTGATTAAAAAAAGAAGAAGCAAAAACCACCAACATTATAATCGTGATCAAATATATAAATGCTGTTACTCATAATATCGAAAGCTCATGTTAGAACGCCAACCTGATTTCACCAAGTAGGACATAATCCTGGATAAGTATCTATGTTGATCCTGGAACAACATTCCAATCAGCCAATTAGAATCAAGGGATTCAGTGTATGTTAAGTTTAGGTTTACGGTTAGGTTTGCACACTTTTACTTGATTGTTATCCAACTATTATTCGCATCTGATTTAGGGAACAATTAATAGTTATGGTTGGGTTTAGGGGTAAGGAATAGATTAAATTTTCGAACCAAGCCAGCAGGCACACAACATCATAAGACATTATTATTAGGTTAGATTTAGGTCATGATGTCATGTGACCAGAATTCAACGACTAGCCTATCTAAGGACAACGTTATTTTGACGTCCAATAATGACGTGAAATTGCATTGATATTTGGTTGACCTCAGGATGCGATGGAAAGTGACCGAAATCCAACGTCTAATAGAAGTTATAGTGGTAACGTCCACACAACGTCAAGCTGTAACATGATTTCATGTTGATATTTGGTTGATTTTAGGTTGGACATTGGACACTGACGTCGGCCTGATGTTGGGTTCTGACATCAACCTTATTTTTATTCCCAAACAAAATCAAACGTCCCCAAGATGTTGGGGTAAATTGGGGTACAACATCAACATGACGTCATGTTGATGTCCTGTGCCTGCAGGAAAAACTATATTTCAGGATCAACATAAATGTTAGAGGGTCTCTATAATCTTGCCCTGAGTGAAGATTTAAATATAATAAATTTTCCCATTTTTACCCTATTTAGTGTATGTTTTCCCGCCCAAAAAACAAAATTTTTGTGAAGTTACTTCACAAACTTCCATAACGTTAGCATTTAACCAAAAATGACCATTATCTTACACTTAAGTGGTTCGAAACTTTTTTGTTGAACACAAACTAAATATTCTGAAGAATGTTGGAAAAATGCAGCCATTGACATCTATAGTAGGAGCAAAAAATACTGTAGAAGTCAATGGTTGTTTTTTTCCAGCATTCTTCAGAATATCTTCCTTTGTGTTTAACAGAATAAACTCAATTTTGGAACAAGTGAAGGATTAGTAAATGATGACAATGTTCATTTTTGTGTGAACGATCCCTTTAAAAGGTGCCACCATCAAGTATGTGCTTACTGCGGTCACTATAGTTACCTCACTATAAATATATTAGTGTTTTCTTTCTAGTTTTACAGCAAGATGGAATAAAAAGTGAACGATTTCTAATTTTGTTTCGGATGTCTTCAACAATAGTTTTACATCCATCTAAAGGTCTCGCATTGGTTAGATAAAGCCCAGTCTTTTGTGATTGGTCAACCCACTGACTGTTTTTCAGAAACCAAATTCTCATGACCATATCTGAATTTTCCAATGCAGTTGTTCATTTATTAATTTTCCTTCGGCTTGGTTTCTGTTTCAGAAGTCGCAACAGGGGAATAAAGTGCAAACTATTTCAGTATGTTTAACACAGCAGATGCCTATCCAGCCACAACCTAGTACTGGGAATCACTACTTGCTTTTACAGCAACGGGTTTTACTTTTTACAAGTAGCAACAGGTTTATTCAATGTTTAAATTAAAAGTCAACTAATCGCTTTATAAGCAACAGGTTTACTAACTTTTTAAAGTAAAGTCAACTAATCGCTTTATAAGCAACAGGTTTACTAACTTTTTTTAAAGTAAAGTCAACTAATCGCTTTATAAGCAACAGGTTTTCTCACTTTTTTAAAGTAAAGTCAACTAAAAGCTTTATAAGCAACAGGTTTACTAACTTTTTTTAAAGTAAAGTCAACTAATCGCTTTATAAGCAACAGGTTTACTAACTTTTTTAAAGTAAAGTCAACTAATCGCTTTATAAGCAACAGGTTTACTAACTTTTTTTAAAGTAAAGTCAACTAATCGCTTTATAAGCAACAGGTTTTCTCACTTTTTTAAAGTAAAGTCAACTAAACGCTTTAAAAGCAACAGGTTTTCTCACTTTTTAAAATAAAGTCAACTAATTACTCTAAAAACAACATGTTTACTCACTTTTTTAAGTAGAGCCAACTAATCCCTGTAAAAACAAGCTTACTCACTTTTTAAAGTAAAGTCAACTAATCGCTTTTTACGCTGTCCTATTAGAGATGTATTACTTTAGATTTAGGATCTTTGAATGACTACAAATATAACACTTGACTTTTAATGTATAGACCAACAGAAGCACCTCTTTTCCCAGAGTATTTTTTCAAAGTAATTTGAATCTAAGTTTAAGCGGTTATCTTTGGCCTTTTATTTTAGACAGTTGCTCCTCACACCTGAAAGGATTTAATTATTGGAAAGTAGGACACAGTTCTTGCTTCACTTTTACAGTATATTCTCAGTCTGAGAATAAGGGCAACATCCGAGTGCAGATTTCTACGTTAGTCGGCTTACATAGAAAAACTAAAACAGCTAGCCTTCTTCAGAACTTACAGTTGAAGACAAATTTATTAACCTTATTTAATTTTTTTTTATATTTACCAAGTGATGTTTAAGAGAGAAAGGTAATTTTTACAGCATTTTTATTATGTTTTCTTCTTCAAAATTTTTTTTTGTTTTTTGATTTCTTTTAGATTATCTAAAATATTATCAATATACAGCGGGGGAAATAAGTACTGAACACGTCATGTTTTTTTGCTGGGAATAATATGTCTAAAGGTGCTGATGACATTGAATTAAAGCAGATTTTGGTAAAACCCAAACAACACAAACATAAAAATAAAACAAAACAAAATAAATTCTAAAAAATTAATTATTTGTTAAAAAAAAAACAATAATGAAGGACAAAATGGCAAAGTACTGAACTATTGAAATGTTTTTATTACTTTATTTAAAAGTCTTTTTTGGCGATGGCAGCTTAAAGACGTTCTCATATGGAGAATGAAGCCTCATGCATTGCTCATGTGTGAGTTTTTCACAGACTTCAACAGAGTGTCAAAATCTTGATGGTTCTGTGGCTCTCGTCTGTCAAATCTGAGCTTTATTTTGTATTCTCTATTGGATTCAGGTCAGGTGATTGGCTGGGCCATTCTACAGCTTGATTTTCTTTCTCTGAAAGCATCTGAGAGATTCCTTGGCTGTGTTTTGGATTATTGTCTAGCTTAAATGTCCACCCTGGTTTCATCTTCATCCTCCTGCTGATGTAGAGGTTGGTCTGAAGCAGCTGATATTCATTTACACTGAAGAATTACTGAGAGATTTCAGCTGCAGTCTGGGCCTTTACTTCCGGACTACACCTCCCTTTCTTCATGTGTTCAATACTTTTTTCCCAGCGCCATTTTATTTTATCTTAATTTGCAAACTAATTAGATTTGTTTTCTTTGCATATATATATGTCTTTGGTTGTTACCAACATTTGGGAAAATTTTCAAGTCAACAGCACCTTTTTATTGAGAAATGTAATACTTTTTAGTCTGCTCGGACTTTATATTTTCTATTTTAACAAAAAAAAAAAAATTAACCACTGTTGTCCAATGACTTGCCTAATTAACTTAACCTACATAGTTAAGCCTTTAAATGTCACTTTAAGCTGAATACTAGTATCTTGCACAATAACTAGTGAAACATTATGTGCTGTCATCATAGTAAAACATTTCAAAACAATTATTAGAAATTAGTTATTAAAACTATTGTTAAAAATTTGTGTTCTTTCTGTTAAACATCAGTTGTGTAATATAATTTTTCATTAAAATTTTTGTGTAGACATTTAATATTACACTACATAGTATATAATAATACAGATTACCATGGACAAATATTGGAGCAGCTAATGAATTAAATGCAATAATATTCTCCCACAGAGAGATAAAGGATGGTAATTGAGGTTTCAGCGGTTATGTCTCTTCAGCAGACGTAAGCGTACTTGTTTCTGGGAAAAAAAGAGCAGCATAAAGACTTCACCTCCTCTTCTTTCAGCTGACGTTTGGTTCTTATGCCTGCTCAGTTTAAAGAAATAGTTCACCCGAAACACCCTGTAAATTCAAGTCTTCTCAAGCCATACAGTACAACTGATGAATTGTATATGAGTGTTCACTAATAAGTTCCCTTTCCCTCAATAAAAAGCTGAAGATGTCATGAAATAAAAATAATCAAAGAATAACAAAATCAGTATGGAAAATACAGGCTGATATCAAGCACTTTATGTAATCACTAAAGGGCAGCACGGTGGCTCCGTGGTTAGCATTGCCACCTCACATCAATACGGTCGCTGGTTTGAGTCACAGTTGGGCCAGTTGGCGTTTCTGTGTGGAGTTTGCATGTTCTCCCTGTGTTGGCGTGGGTTTCCATCAGGTTTCCACCACAGTCCAAACACATGCGGTTTAGGTGAATTGATAAACTAAATTGTCTGTAGTGTATGTGTGTGATTGTGAAAGTGTATGGGTGTTTCCCAGTACTGGGTTGCAGCTGGAAGGGCATTCGCTGCGTAAAACATGTGCTAGATAAGTTTGTCGGTTCATTCCGCTGTGGTGACCTCTCAAATAGAGAATAGGTTGAAGGAAAATGAATGAATGAACATGATCACTAATTTTATAAAAAACACAATCCATCTATCCATCGGTTCAGACTATATTATATATATTTAGTTTATATTTAGACATATTATAGACTGTGATATGACTGTATTGTAATAATTTAACACTTTTAAATATGGTCTAATTGTTATACATTAGTCAAAGAAACAACTAAAATGCACTAACAATAATAAAGTATTTGTTACAGTATGTTTATTAATCTTAAAAATAATAATACTACTCGGCACTGTTAGTTATTGTTAACTCAAGCCCATTACATAATATTACCAAACACAACTTTTGCTTTAAATGTATTTGTCAGTCCCTCCAGGATTTCGCAGGGACATTTTTTTTATATATTTGCGGACTAATATAATTGATTTTGTGTTGGCTTTTGTCAAAACTTATGGCATTATTTGCTTAATTTATTGTGTTTTACTCATTATTTTTTTCACAATACCATTGGACTAACAAAATCATGTAGGGACTGATTTGTAAATATTGAAAGATTGGGTTGTATTTTAACGATCTAGGCACTATGTCTAAAGCACATGGCGCAAAAGCATTAAGGGCTTGTCCAAATCCACTTTTGCTATTTTAAGGATGAAAAAATACACTTTGCGCTGCAGCGCATGGTCTAACAGGGTTGTGCTTATTCTCTTAATTAGTTTTTTAATTTAGTGTTTTGAGCATACACCAATCAGAATCACATCTCAAATTCAGTTGAGTCAGTTGCGTCGTGCCATTGTGCATTTGCTACTTACATGGCGGACTCTGTAAGTGGAGAAACTGAACGCTTCACTAGTGAGAAAACAGTTAAACAGAGCTTCTGTAGTGCGAGGATAAAGAACGAGCCTCCTCCATTCGGCCTCTTTACTTTCTCTTGTGGATAAGGAAATGGTGTAGTACACACTCGGCTGAACACAACTATTAGCCTACATAAATATTTTTGTTTGTTAAGCGCAAAGATTTGTTTTAAAACTATTTCTAAATTCAGTTGTAATTTCCAGCAAACAAATAAATGAAGAATAATAATGAAGTGTGGTCAAAAAACTGAGTTATATCCAAACACGCGCCCTGTTCTTATGCTCCATATGGTCTGAAACCTGACAGATGGACAAATCTACGCTTGTTTTTAATAAAACAAATATAAATATGCATATAAATAATAATAATAATAATAATAATAATAATAATATACAAATGTAAATTGTCATGAAGAAACTGAAAAAGCACCCTCAGATGAGGAAGGCTTGGAGGCAGTGGTTTTTATATTTATGTAGAAAATAATCATATTTGTAACATTTTAATCCATTAATTGTTTTCATATGTAAAGATATTTGTGTATTGCTGTACATCCTGTGTGTATTAAGCAATGTGTATGTGTTTAAGGCGCATAACTAACGTCCTCTGAGCTGTACTTTAGACCTTTTAGTTGGTCTATTGCACAGTCTATTTTAGTTCCTCATAATAGCAACGCGCCAACAAAACTTTCTAGACAGTAACACCCATGAGTCCACAAAGTGGCGCAAGTGTATTTAGCTATTTAAACAACATGACGCAAAACAGGAAAATTAGCGTTGTGCTGGTCTGAAAATAGCAAGATGTCGCGACAAACACTTCTTGTGCCTTATTGCACCGGCTGTATGATAGGACCCATTGACTTTAATTTAAAGGGATAGTTCACCCAAATATGAAACCTATGTTATCATTTACTTGTTCCAAACCTGACTGACTTTCTTTCATCCAAGATATTTAGAAGAAAGTTAGAAACCTGTAACCATTGACTTCCATAGTATTTGTTTTTCCTACTATGGAAGTCAATCAACCCAAGCTCATTCTGGAAACATAGCCCCGCGGACATTTCTGGAGACAGCGATTTACGTGGCCGGATGTACGTAAAGGCCGCGTTTGGTTTTTTCGAGCGAATGCTGCGGGGCGGTGTGGCGCCGCTCCGCCCCTCCTCTTCGAGCTCGCCGGCCGACGGCTCGCCTCCGAGTGGAGGGCTTTCCCGATGCAACCAGTTTGTCCGCTTAGCTCACAGAGTTGCGTCAGCGGAGGGGAGGCCCCGGAGGAGGAGCCGGAGCCGGCCGTGGTGGACGACGACCGGGATCGAGTCCGGGGAACAGCAGGTTCCGGAAATCAGGTAAGACGAAAAACGGAATGTGAAAAATAAGGGCGAGAACGCGGCGTGATCCGAAAACGCGGTCGAAATCGAAGACGAGGGCTTTTGGTTTTTTTTTTTTTTCGATCCGGCAGCTTTTCGTGCGAGAACGGCGCGGACAAGAACGGCGCGGGCGCGAACGCCGCAGGTTCCCGAGAGGCGCCCGAGACGCAAAAAAGCGCGCACAGCGGCCTCTTGCGGATCCACGAAAACAAAAAAACGCTCGAATACGTACCTCCCAGGACGTAAATCGCAGTCCGCAGAAACGTCCGCGGGGCTACGTTTTCACAATGAGCCCGGATTGAAGTCAATGGTCAAAATCTAAAGGATTGAAACCAATCGAGGGTGAGTAAAAAGTGAGAACATTTGAATTTTTGTGTGAACTATCCCTTTAACAAACACTCAATTAAAACTTATTATAAAATATGTTACATTTTTTGTCAAAATTCTTTTAAAAATGACACCCCAAGTCCATTGACAGGTGATGTACAACAGTCTCCTTATCCATAAATAATTCATGCTGCTGAGAAAATGTTTTATGGGCATTTACTCATGCATTCATTTTCTTTTCGGCTTAGTCCCTTTATTAATCTGGGGTCGCCACCGGGGAATGAACCGCCAACTTATCCAGCATATGTTTTACGCAGCGGATGCCCTTCCAGCCGCAACCCATCACTGGGAAACATACACTACGGAGCACCCGGAGCAAACCCACGCGAACACGGGGAGAACATGCAAACTTCACACAGAAATGCCAACTTACCCAGCTGAGGCTCGAACCAGCGACCCTCTTGCTGTCAGGCAATCGTGCACCACCGTGCTGCCCTGACAGCAGACATATCTAACTTTAAAAAAAATCCAAAAAGGTATTTCGAGTACTCACAGAGAGATGATTCCCGTCGGGAAGCTCTTAGGAATGACTTTGGTGTCCACGCAGAAGGCGCTGTCTTTAGTACAGGAGCAGGTGGCTGGACACCGTGGGCTTTTAGGGGCTTTGCGGCCCGGTGCCGTCCCAAACATACAGAAGAGCAGCACGCAAACAGACCACCTCCAATCTGGCCATCGTAGAGTCCGTCTGGGCCTCGCTTCCACCATCTTCCAGCTTCTTCTCGTCTCCTGCTGGAGTTGTTTCAATCTACACGGTTGAACAAGGCTGTTTAGTATCCAATCCTTATCAAGCAAACCTCAATAGCAGAAGATCCTGGAGTGAATAGGAGCCGGACGCTGATAAGAGTGACTGGTGTTCCCTGTGTGTGTGAGTGAGTGTGTATTGGGTTTTCTCAGTGTTCTCCGCAGTCTCTCTCTCTCTCTCTTTCTCTCTCAGCGGTGCAGCTGTCAGAGCACAGACTGCAGGAGTGTGTCAGCTCCGCACACTCTCAGCCTCAACGCTGAATTATTAACAATCGCACAGACCAACTCTACAGCAGCAGAAGGAAACAGAGTGGGACTGGAGTAAGATGAAGAGGCTACGGGTCAGCGGAGGTTGCACTAAATAACGTACTGCAAGGCAAGCCTCTTGATTACATGAAAACCAGTAATAAATATGTGTTCTGCATCTATAAGGGTTAAGATTGGGTTCGGTTACACCAAAGTTTAAACTAGAGACCTGCTATAACCTTGTTGCTCCATTGCTTTGAGCTCAGATTGAAAGTCTGAGGGAAATCAAAACTGACTATGTTTGTTTTGCTAGCGCACGTTGTTTTGGTAATAGTGTTGGCAAAAGTATTGAGTTCGGTACCAATCAGTATTGAAATTTTAAAAACCTCCACTTTCCGCTAACATTTAAGAGTGTTTAAGGGTGCTTTTATACCTACACATTTGTTTTAGAACCTGGTGCGTTTCCCCCTTAGCTCAGTTGGTTTGGGCATAGGTGAAACCCGCAATCGCACTCAGATCCACGCCAAAACAATCGTTTCGAGACAACCTGAATAAAGAGGTCTCGGCTCATTTGAAACAAAGTCTAGAACTTTAAAACTCTCCAGTGTCATCTGATTATCTGTGTTTGCACTTGGTGAACACCGGTAAAGAGTAGGGATGTCTAGATCCGATCATGTGATCGGAAATCGGGCCCGATCACGCAGTTCCAGACCCGATCAGGACTCGAATATATACGTATATGCAGTTGAAGTCAGAATTATTAGCCCCCCTTTGATTTTTTTTTTCTTTTTTAAATATCTCCCAAATGATGTTTAACAGAGCAAGGGCATTTTCACAGTATGTCTGATAATGTTTTTTCTTCTGGAGAAAGTCTTATTTGTTTTATTTCGGCTAGAATAAAAGCAGTTTTTAATTTTTAAAAAAACATTTTAAGTTCAAAATTATTCGCCCCTTTAAGCCCCTTTTTTTTCGATGGTCTACAGAACAAACCACTGTGATACAATAACTTGCCTAATAACCCTAACCTGCCTAGTTAACCTAATTAACCTAGTTAAACCTTTAAATGTCACTTTAAGCTGTATAGAAGTGTCTTGAAGAATATCTAGTCAAATATTATTTACAGTCATCATAACAAAGATAAAATAAATCAGTTATTAGAAATAGGTTTTTAAAACTATTATGTTTAGAAATGTGTTGAAAAAAAAATCTATAACACTTTAGAATAACTATCTGTTATACCTAGTTAATAGACCATTAACAAACTGTTAGTTAATGGGTTGTAAATGACTTGTTAAATAAAAGTTAATAGCTTGTTAATTATTTATAACTGTGCCTTATAGATGGCCAATAGATAACTTAGAAGCTGATAGTTAACAAGTTCTAAATGACTTCTTAACTGTATTTTAATGATTTATAACTATACCTAATAAATTATTAAGAGATCATGAACAAGCTGTTACTAAATACTTAATAAAGACTTGTTAAGTATGAGTTAATAGTGTTTATATGTTATTGTGATGTTATTCTAAAGTTGCAATAGTTGCAACTTTAGAATACCGTCCCCATAACACACTTAAGCTAATAACTAACACTTAACTAATATATTTACTCACACTTTACAGATGAGTAGTTTACCATCCAATAACACCAGTGACACTTTGTAGAACTTTATTTTTTATATTTACTGTTGCACTAAGGTCCAAAAGTGAGGAGTTGATGTTATTTATTACTTGATTGTTCAAGCTCCCTCACAGAAGTGCTCTGTTTGTTAACAGAGTTGTTGAATATTAAAATAAGGTGAATTAAAAAAAAAAATAACAACCCAGGCTCATTCTGAAAACGTAGTCCAGCGGACGTTTCTGGAGATCACGAAATACGTCCCGGGAGGTACGTATTTGTGCAGTTTTTGTTTTCGCGAATCCGCGAGAGGCCGCTGTGTGCGCTTTTTCATATCTCGAACGTCTCTCGCGAGTGCCGTTGGCGCCAGCGCTGTTCTCGCGTCAACCTACCAGAGGCCGCTTTCTGACTGACCGAATGATTGACTGCGCGACCGGCCAATCGGCTGTCCCACCCTCCTCCTTCCCTGAACCCAACCAGTTTTACAAATTGACCCACCCGCCCACTCACTTCCCTAAACCCGAGCAACAATTTAGAAAAGCCGTCTAGAAAAAGAAAAACCCTCGTCTGTTTTTTTTTTTTTTTTACCACGTTTTCCGATTTCACCATGTTCTCACCCTATTATGAACTCGTTCGCTTTATTTTTTGGATTCTGTTTTTGTCTTACCTGGTTTCCCGGACTCGAACCCGGACGCCTTTGTCAACTCCTCCTCTCTGCATCTGAAGTCCGCCGACGCACACGATGAGCTGACCGTACAAACTGACTGCAGCGGGAGAGCCCTCCGCACGGAGGTAAGCGGTCAGCCGGCAAGCGCGAAAGTGAACGGCGTCACACCGCCCCGTAGCGTTCGCTTAAAAAAATGAAATGCAGCCATACGTACCTCCCGGGACGTATTTCATGGCCTCCAGAAACGTCCACTGGACTACGTTTTCAGAATGAGCTTGGGTTGAAAAATAAGGAACATGCTGGATCTGTTTCTTTGTTCTTTTTTATTCTTTTTTTTATGCATTATAGAAGTATCGGATCAGATTTCGGTATCGGTAGATACTCAAAATCAAATGACTCTAGGGCAAAAAAAACCTGATCGGGACATCCTTAGTAAAGAGTGGTGGACTGATGACCTTCACGGCCAAACACAATCCTTGCTGTTGAGCACAATGACCAATCAGCAGTGTTTAAGAACATGTCAACAGCGCTCAAATGTTCGCATGAAATTAACGCTTTTAAAATTTCAGTATCAACTGGTACCGAACTCGTTTGACAACATTATTTGGTAATGTTCAATCAAAGTCTGAACATCTGCTTCCGAGTTTGGATTGACTCCTTCTATGATGATGTCAGTTTGATGGTTTAGCCACAGTACTCTTAACCACGCCCCTCTTACTGTTAGTTTGCTATGAGTGAATGATGATGCAAAAAGAAAGCCCCGCCCCCTATTCAATATTCCTATTAGTTGGAAGTGCATCTACAAACTAAAACAGGGCTCAACAATAAGGACTGCCCGGTGGCCCAGCGCCAGCAAGAGAGACGCTTGGGACAGTAGACAGGATCATTACTGGCCCGATTGGGACAGTGCTGCCTTGTCACTAACATTTAATTTGTCTTCGACTATTTTTCAATTGCGTGCATTTTAAGTTTGTGCTTTTAAGTCTTTAAACACTACCTTCTCTGTGATGTCGTAAACACCATATTGCTTTCTGGTTCCTCTTATCTGATTTGATGTTTTGAGCATGCTATTTTTTTCAGTAACCTGGTAACAACCAGTACAGCAAAGAAACAGCAACATGGCAGCAACATCAAATTATAAGGCTAAAAGAAAATGTCTGTTTCTAACATCTTGGAAGCAGACATTTACGTGCGAACATCGCAACAAAAAAATTAAGTAAAAACTTTGGCAGGGCAAGTAAAAATCTGAACCACTTGCCCAATTGGACCAGTAGAAAAAATCCTTAGCGTTGAACCCTGTAAAAGCCTCAGCAACTTCTGGTTTACGCAGACTTTAAGTTTCATTTATTGAGGGGGGTTTAAACTGTCACAATGGCAGCAATTATTTGGTGATCCTCGCAGAATTACATTATTTTTTCAAAAGGTTTTGCGACACTCCTTCCAATCACCGATAACAGGTTTTGCTGTATTTTGTAGTTTGTTGGAAGGGGGATTCATTTTTTTTCATAATTCACGTAAAGACATAGTGTGGAGGAACTGGATTGGCCTGCACCTCAACACGACTGATCACCTTTAGGATGAATTAAGAGTGGAGACTCTGAGCCATGCTTTCAATCTAACAACAATCCATGACCTCGCAAATGTTTTCTAGAAGAATGGTCATAAATTCCAATAAAAAGACTCAAAACTTTCTCTCACAGGACTTTAAACATCCAGTGCATCACTTTGTCTGGTATCTACAGTAATACAGCACTCACCCAATCATCTGATTGAATCATCACGATCTCTCCTCTTGTTTCTCTGCGCATGTGCTCAAAACGTATCTAATGTCATCATTCCCATAAACCAGCTGCTGGAAACCATCGACCAGTACTCGTCCCACATGCCTGAGTGTAAAAGAAATTTCTTCAGTTATACTCATCTGTTATATCTCGAACTGTTACTAGTTCAAGTTTACTCACCTGGAATTCCTGTTGAGTTTGCATCTGTTCAGTAAACCCACCTGTTTGGTATAATTTACACATACAGTATAAACATATTCAGATGTTTAAACGCACCGATGTACATGATAGACCACATTGAATATATATATATACATATATATATACATATACATATATATATATATATATATATATATATATATATATATATATATATATATATATATATATATATATATATAAAGTATTCCTTCAAAACAACCATCTGTATTACTGACACATATGAAAAAATACTACTGTTTTTTGAACCATACTAAAGTAAAGTGTATTAAACTGTATGTTTTGTAGTATTTTTAACACGTTAATTGATGCTTTAACATGCTGAAGTAGTAACTGTCATGAACTGATGAGCTGTAATAAATTCTGTAGTATTATTTAGTTTTTATTATTACTGCAAACTGTGGTGAAGCATAATCAGCATTTCTGCAGGTTTTACAGTTAAATTTAAGACTTTTAAAGACGTTTTAAGACCATTATGAATGAAATTTTAGACTCATAAAGGGCTAAAGGCTAAGGAATTTTTCAAATGACCCAGAT